GCTGGCTTACCGGCCAGCACTGAAGCTCCAAGTTAGTCGCCCCTGACGCAAATGGGACGCATTGTCTGGGACTCTCCTCTGGGCCCACGGGAGTCGACGGCGGGTCTCTTTATTTGTTAGTATGATAACATCTAAGCCTCTGCAAGCTCCTTGACGAGTACGTCTACGCGGCAAGACCCTTTGACTTTGCGTTCGGCGAGCCTTTTGGCTTCATGAAGACCGACTCGGACAAGTGCGAATACATCAAGACGACGGAGAAGAACTTGCCCGTGTTCATGGCCACGACCGTATTTCTCTGGATGATTGGGCTGTTTCATTCCCCCGTCCTTAGGTTGATGTTGTCTTCGAAGAAGGATCGATTGGAGTTCGGCACGGTGACGGGGTGAACGGCCTTGGTTTCTGTTCTCCTCGTCAATAATCTCGGGAAGTGTGTTGGGTGTGGTTAACCGCTGACACTCATCCAGGATAGCCAAAAAGATCTCTGCCGAGCGATATGGCCCTGATAGAAGAGTCCAGAGGGATATATGTTATGTTCCTTCGTCGCCCACGGCCTCACCCAAGAGGCGGCAGGATCCGAGATGCTGCTCCAGACCTCAATCTGCCCCTGGCCCTTTTTTCGTAAAAATATCATCAGAATCTCACAGACCCCAGAAGCATCGCCGGCTCCGACACAACAGCGACAGCCAACCGCGCCACGATCCTCCCCATCACCACAAGCCCCCGCGTCCACACCAGATTGCTAGCAAAGATCCTGCAGAGATCCTCTTTACCACGAACGCAACCACCACGCGCCGCCCCATCATTGCCGACGCCGAGGCCCGCAACTTCCCCTACCTCCAGGCCGTCATCAAGGAAGGACTCCGCATCTTCCCGCCCGTGGCCGGTCTCATGGCCAACGAAGCGCCCGCGACGGGGGACACGTGGAACTGTGCGTTCATACCGGACGGGACCCGCGTCGGTTTGTCGGCATGGGGCATGTTTCGCCGGGAAGACGTGTTTGGCGCCGATGCGGGCGAGTTCAGGCCGGAGCGGTGGCTTGTTGAGGGTCATGGCGGTAGAACTTCTTTGGAGCTGCTGCGCAAGATGGAGGCAATGATTCATTTGGTGTTTAGTTATGAGTGGTATTATTTTCTTGGACGGCCTGTTGCGTTGATGGAATTGGAACAAGGTCTTTTTCGAAATGAGTCTTTGATGATTTTCTTTTTTTTCCCCTTCGTTTTCTTCTCACTAAGTTCCTGTGTATATAACGGCCAGCCATAACTCGCACTCTGATATGAGATCTTCTAGCTGCTTCGGCGATTTGAGTTCACCGTCTGCGACCCGCTGCATCCGTGGAAGAATTTCAAATGCGGCATTCACGTGCAGTCTGAGTACTGGATTAGGGCAAAACGAAGAGAGTGATATATGAATTTCTGTGGTGTTTGGGTAATCCTGAGCTCTCGAGCAGTTTTTCTGACAGATTCTGGCGTATGATGAACACTCAACATAATGTGATTGTTCGAGCCAAGTGTCTACCTATTGAGGATTAACTTACGATCAATAACAGCTCCCAGAGGAGAGAGAAGAAGAGAAGCAGATGGATATACGTCTCAGTCCCGTTTGAAAGGACTGAGGCACCGTCCCTGAACCATCTACAGCCCTCAACCATAATGATCCTTGTCATGGGTGACGGGGTTGCTCATACCGTCGGTTTCATCCCCAAAAGCACAATCCGAGGCAAGTTTAAAGCTGGTGGCTTGCACAAGAAGGCTGACTGGGCTACTTGACCTGTGATGCACTCTTAGATACCTTACATTGCCCTAGCCTACCAATCCCATCGGAGCTGCGTTGCGCAGACTATCCCACACAGCAATTTAGTGGTCCGTTGCGTAGTTTCCATAGTTCCACTCGAGTTTCCAACAATGTTTTCTCATTACAATGGGAAAAATAAAAAAAAAATCACGAGTTCCTCTCTTCAACAGTTTCGAGAGGGCAAAAGTGTAACACCCCATTGGCTAGCTCACGCAGGTAAACGACCCCCACAAAGCCACGCCATTGGCCGCTTTCTTCCCCATGGCCCCGCATCATCCCCGTCAGACCAGGAACGCCAGTCGTGTTGTGCCTCGGTATCTCGACATCCCATTTCGGCTCCCGTCTTCTCTTTCAACGTCATCGATCATCAATTCTCGACACTCACGCAACAACCGCAAATTTCATCACAAGTCAGTTTCTCATTCACTGACGCGAGATTTGTTCTTTCTCACTGTTTGTCACTTCATCTCACTCCATTCGCTCCAGTCATAATACCTTAAATCACAATGGCTTCATCCGACGAGGATAGGAAGATCGTGCTGTACCACTACTCCGCCTCGCCGTACGCCAGGCGGATCGTGTGGTACCTAGCTCTCAGAGGCATTCCCTATGTGCAGTGTGTAAGTCTACAACTCTCACATATCATCTCACCATTCTATAGTCTTTTCACACACTAACATTACGCGAACAGATTCAACCACCAGTCCTCCCCCGACCAGACGTCGCAAAACTGGGCATCACTTATCGCCGGATCCCGATCCTCGCCATCGGCCGCGACATCTACCTAGACACGCGCCTCATGCTCCGAAAGCTCGAACAGCTGTACCCCTCGCGGCCCCGCCTCGGTGCTACTGCCACTGCCACAGGCACGGCTAGCAGCAACCCGGAGCACGCAGCCGTCGAGCGCCTCCTCGAGGCTCTCATAATCGACTCCGTCTTCTCCAACGCAATCAACGTCTTGCCCACGAGCCTGCCCATGCTAAAGGACCCGAAACGCACCTGGATAAAGGACCGCGAGGATTTCGTCGGCGGCAAGCTCTCCCCGGAGACTATGGAGCGCGGGAGACCGAATGCCGTCAACGAGATCCGCCGCACGGTTGCGCTGCTCGAGACGACGCTGCTCGCCGACGGGCGGGATTGGCTCATCGGGACGCCAGGTCCATCGCTCGCGGATATCGAGGCCGTGTGGTTGCCGCACTGGCTGTCCGGTCTTCCCGGTGCGCTGCCGGAGGAGCACATTTCAAAGGAGCAATTCCCCAAGGTCTTTGCCTGGATGGAGCGGTTCCAACAGGTCACTGTAAAAGCCAAGAAGGCGGCGGCGGCGGACAAGGGCAAGGTCGCGACAGTGTCGGGCGACGAAGCGGCGGAAATTGTCGTCTCGTCGCCGTACAACGAGCCCGAGGGCCGGGTCGACGCCAAGGATTTACTTGTTATTGAGCAGGGGCTCAGAGCAGGCGACGAGGTCATTGTGTGGCCCGTTGATACGGGCGCCTCGCACAAGGACACCGGGAAGCTCCTGAGCCTCGATGGGGACGAAATCGTTTTTGAGGTCCAGGGACCCAAGGGGTCGGCGAGGGTTCACGCGCCGAGGCATGGCTTCCGGCTGGAGAAGCTGGAAAGGTATCAGGCGCGCACCGGCGCCGCGAAGCTGTGATTTTTCCCCACGGCCCGTTGTGTCTGTCGCCGCCGGCGTTGTGGCCGAAAGTGGCATGGCTCTTTTCCCCGGCCGAGTCTCATTCCAGAAGCTTAGCACGGAGCGAGGGACGGAGAATCCTGCTCCCACCGGGCCCGGTGTGACAAGCTATATCTTAGCTAGAAAACTTGAAAACGCCCGGGCTACACCATCGATAAAACACCCATCGAAAATCTGGAGCTCATCAGACCTCATCAAGAGGGGAGGAATGTGATCTATGTGCAGCTCCAGACACGTTTGGGGGTGCAACTAGCGGCAGGCTGAGATGGTTCTCAATGTACATGCTGAAGTAGGCTCAATAATGGTCGTTTACGTGGGTGTGCGACTTTCCCATCGTCCAGAAGGACCAAGAAACTGTTTTCGGCTCCAACCCGCGTGCTATGTACACAGGCCGGAAGGGGAAGCTGAGTTTCACCCTTACGCGCACCGGCTCCCACAATTGATGTGCTGAACAATCTCTGTCTAAGCTCACGCAATGTGGATGGAATTATGGCAACGGCCACATAGCCAGTGACGATTTCGATCCACACAAGAGCTGGGGGCTGTGTTGAACGGGAGGACGAGGTACAATGCTAGTGAGCCGCGGCTCCTGCGAATGCCGACGCCCATGATGATGCAAGATCAGCGTTCTCTCTCTCTCTCTCTCTTTTTTTTTTTTTTTTTTTTTTTTTTATTCCTTTGCTTTTCTAATTTTTATAAACCCCGCCCCCCCCCCCGCCGCCCCCCCCCCCCTCTCCCCCCCCCCCTCCCCATTTTTTTTTTTTTTTTTTTTTTTCAATGCCATGGCTTACTACAGGTTATCAACCACCTGCCAACAAGGTTGCTATTTAGCCTCTTATCGCTCAATTCCAGCTAGGTCTATCAGGAAGAAGAGATCATGTACTCGCGAGGTGTGAAACGGAGGTGACGGCTATCCATTCCGCAACAGATGCAGTGATATGGTAAGCGAGACCTTGACGTTCACTTTCGGCAGGCCATTTTGGCGATCCGGCCGAGAGGCGCACAAACCGCCAGCTGAGTCTGTGTTGAAGGATTAAATCATCGACAGGCGCGTCGACGATTCTCAGCCTCCAGAGCATCGGACGAGACCCTCCGCCAGGAACCCGGAGAGCGAGTTGAGGCTTACCCAGGCACTTGTGGCGTTGACCCGGTGGAATGGGGCAGCGGACGAAGCGGACGGAGAACTTTGGGCTAGACGGCATGGTATGCCTAAGCTGATTAGGCTGAGTCTTGTTCTTGCTATGGCTAAGCGCGCCTCTCGTCCGAGGCTCGACGTGGGCTTGGTGGGTTGTGGTTCTAGACCCGATTCCCATGCGACGTTTGGCTCGCAAGACGCAGATCGAGAGTCGGGCAGTTGGATCTATATTGAGCTTGATGCCGAGCCTAGAATGTAAACAATTCGCCCATAAGACGTGCCGTCTCATCCATCTTCTAGTCGGGTTTCTTCCGTCATCGCTCCGTCAATGTGTCCTGGAAAGATTGGCTTGGCCGTACAATGGGCCAGGCTACCGTAATGCGTCGACGGAGTTCGACTCTCGGATAGGCAGGCTGCGTATACAGTGTGACGCGACGCGCTCGCGGAGTGCAGAGTTTGAGCACAGTGCGAATAGAAAATGGTGTGGAAAGAGGAGCAAAGGCATGCAGGTTGCAAGGATGTTCTCCGGGTCTAGTGCGTCATAAGACGGTAGCCGACCATGTCAGTCTGCTTCGCCGATACGTACCGTTTGGTGACCTGAGACTCCCCGTCCGCTGGTGCTCCGGCGTCCAGCGCAAGGACACACCCCAAATCCAAGTAGGCCACGCAAGAGGAGGACGGGAGCAAGCGGTCTTCGCGGAGCAAACCAGTGGGTCGCTGGGATTGAGAGAAAATTTGGAAATCCGTCATCGCGGACCTTTCGTTGGAATCGCAACTTCCGCCATCGATGAGGCCAACCCGACGTAAAATCCCCGCGTGAATGACTATGAACCAGCAAGTCAAAGGGCCGTTACTCTTTGGGTTTGTCTACTGTCTGAACTTCGTGTTGCCATACCGCACATAAGGATCACTTCCCCGACCGTGCCGGGGCGACGAATGGTGGGAAACAACGATGGGCTCGCGTGCTTGGCTTGCTGGTTCGGGTTTTCTATTCGTCAGTGTCTGATAAGACATAGTTACGTCATGACCTGTGACGACACTAATGCGATACAGAAAATGAAAAGTATCGGGACAGTGCGGACCCGATTGCAGCCCGGACATTGGCCAAAGCTGTGACCTTCGAGCGCAATTGGTGCCGTTTTCGAGAACTTTGCCAATCTTCCGTCTCAACCTGAGAACAGACCACAAGAATAAAGCCGTGACGTAATGTTTGGAGGAAGACGCATCTGACTGACATGCGAATCGTGACTGTCTTGGCGGCTTGCCAGGGCAATTCTCGCTTGCAGCAACAGTGTCGACTGCTCTGTCAGTAAACTACTGCTGTCAACCATGCGACCCTATGCGGCTGGAAAAGGCCAACTGGGAGAAAGGGGGGGGGAGGTGTTAATATTTTCAGGCGGTGTCTGGTTTCCCGAAGGACATCGCTCGATGTAGCCTGTCTGGTGCGAGTGTTGTGACGCAATTTGTTGGACTCTGCAGTCGAGGCTTAGAGAGCCGGGGGGCCCTGGCTACTGGGGCCACCCTGTTCAAGCTGCAGCTTTTGCGATACCTTATTGGGTGTTGAAGGCAGCAATTTGCCACTTCGGTTTCCCAGTCACGTCGACAACCTCCCCTCTACGTAGCAAGGTTGCCAGCCCTTCCTTACTGTCATCGGCATACTAGGTCAGGACCGTCAGATAGCCGCAGCTTAGAAATCCTGGTAGAACGGTCGCTGTGCGCTATGCGAGGACACGGCTGTGTAGCGACTTGACGTGATAGTCTGGCACAGTCGTATGAACAAGAGTAGGTGCCTGTGTAGTTGCACAGTAGCTATACGGTTCAAAAAGACCAGCTGGATCGTGATGGGGGAGGGAAACTTTTGCTCTAAAAAGAAATTAGTATGTCGATCTCCTCACCGTAACGATTTCCCCGTGGCTAGGTTCCTCCAGGAGACCGGCGGCCGCACCCTTAGGCACCTGACAAAGCATAGCCGGCAGGTGGTTCGATGGCGTTGACTGTTCTAGACTCTCGTGGAGGATATGTTCCAGAACAGCCGCCAGGGCGATAACAAATATGCCGGATGGCGGACGTTGTTGACCTATTTCTTTCTGCTGGGTGTATGAGTGTGGATGGCCATAATCGAAGGTTGGGGAGTGGCTCAGTGGGCGATTATGAAGGAACGGGAGGTGGATCGCTTGTCGTGAGGTCCAAAGCACATGCTCCACCTCCGACGGCGCTTGGGAAAGGGAAGAAAAAAGAGGACAGAGGCGGAACCTTGGTTGCGACAGGAAGAAAAGTGATGCAATCAATGCAGGGGTGGGGAGACTTGTGGGGGGGGGGGCAGGCTGCAGCAAATGGAGACGTGCAGCCACAGTAGCAAACGTTGGCTGCAGATACTGGCTGGGTGGTGCCCAGGTGCGTTGCGACACCAAAAGGCGACTTCCACCGGACGCAAGACGGTATCTGATTGGCCAGTTCGCGTACAGTATTCTTAGTGCGCAACTCGCGTCGGGGGACAACCGCCTGATTTTCTACCAAGGTAACCGTACATGCCGTACAGGGCAGCGGGATATTAAATTTGGTGGAGGATGAGACGGCGATAACAGCGTGGAAGAGAAACATTTACATGCCGAGCACAGGAGGAAACACTCAGTGTCTTCCACGGCGGTGGCTTTCAAGGCATGTACATGAACCCAAGACAGCGGTGTTGGTCCGAGGCAATGCAACAACAGTATTGACATATTCCTTGAGCTGATAAAACAAGAAAAGGCGAAGACGAACAACAAAACCGGCCACTTACAGTCAGTATGTAGATGGTGCGCGGCTTCGGCAGACCGATCTGCCGCCTATCGCCTGAGGCAAAAGATGGGATGGAGATGTAGAGGAACACATCTCCCAGTCGCCTTTCTGTGCGTGCACTTGTAATAGGATCGGTGGTGAGGTCCGTCCCAGGCGACGATGTTAGGTGACAAACCCCACGCATGAGGAAAAGCGATTTGGTCGAGGTGGTCGCAATCGAGGCAGTATTCGTTCCTACCTTACGCCATTCAGGTTGTCGGAAGCGCGCTACGTACCTATCTTTCCGTAGAAGTAGGGACCTTGAGGAGGTACTTTGCCGAACTGGAATGCCAGACAGATGTGGTGGGATCATTCCCCATTGGTAAGCCATTCTTGGACGTCGGGGCATTCGGCGCACAGTGCGACAAACATCAACCCCCCACAAAAGCCCCAGCGTTTCTCGTAGAACGGGGAAGGAGAAAGAGGAAGAGAAAAAAAAAGGCCAGGAGCACCGAGAGGAAGCGCGCAAGAGCAAGAGGCAGGAAGCCTGTTGAGACTGGACTGGGACGGGGGGCGTTGTTGGAAGGGGTGGGCACTGGGCGTGGATGGGACATGGACATGGACGTGGGCGTTTTGGTGTCAGAGTGTGCGCCGCCGCCGCCCACCCATTTTCTTTTCTTTCGTGCGCCCTCGCTCTTTTTTTTTTTTTTTAAATCGACCCCCGCGCAACGTCATACTTGACCTGTGACGTCTGCCGTTTTTCCCCCCCGACATCTTACCCTCACAACGATTACTCGTTCTCCCCCCCCCCCTCTCACCCCGCCCCCCGGCCGCCCCCCCCGCTTTGTGGGCTTGTGAATGCGCCCCCCGCGCAACGTCATACTTGACCTGTGACGTCTGCCGTTTTTCTCCCCCGACATCTTACTCTCACAACGATTACTCGTTCTGCACCCCCCCATCTTAGCACGTCCCCGGGTACGCATCCAGAGAGGCCACAACTACGCAATACCTCTTGTCTTTTTTCCCCCTCCCCTGCTGGCGGCCGTAGAGAGACAACTCTTTTCTCACCACCGTCGTCGATCGTCGAAAGCTATTCCATTCCCGTGTCGCTTCTAAATCAGAGGAGCGCTGCAATAGCGTAGCTGCTGCCTCTGACGGCTAACCTTCTCTGCCGCGGCCATCGCTGCTTTGCCCGTCCCTCTACATTGCGTTGCAGATTGGTTTCCGCCCGGATCTCCTCTACCGCTTCCAACCCAGATCTATCTCTGAGCTGAATCTACCTGCGTGTCCTTCTTCTCTGACCTCATCTGGCTTTTCAACACTACCATACATCATCATCCCTACCTTGCTACCGTCACTTTTTGCCTTTGGCGTCCACCCCACAAACGTCAACAACGCTACTTTCCCCAAATATAATACATCATCGTCGTCATCATGGGGACCTCACCGAACGACGCCTCGACCGGGGGTGATACGAAGTCACCCAAACAGTCCAACAATCCCACTCCCCCACGTCAAAGTAAGTCTGACAACCTTCTGCATCGCGTTACTCGTTGTTTCTTCACCGAAAAGCATCTTTGTCGTCGCCGTCGCTGTCGCCGTCGTCGTCAACTTGCTCACCTCAACAATAGATTCCATCCCAGAAGTGAAGCAACCCGACCCGAGCCTAAAGCCCGATGCTGACGGCGCGAAACCTCTTGGTCCTCCCCCTCGACCTGGACAGACCACTGGAAATACTCCCGATTACTTCGGCGCTGGAGCCGCCTCTCTCAGTCTGGAGCCCAATCCCTTTGAGCAGTCTTTCGGCGGAGGCGCGCCAGAGACACCCGGTGGCACGAAACTACCATCCGTTGCTGCTCTGACTTCGCCATCTTCGTTGCTTCCTGGCAGCGGTGCTACTCCATTCAACTGGGGAGGAGGTTCATTGCGAACCGGTCCTTTGAGCCCGGCCATGCTGTCAGGTCCCACCAGTGACTATTTCAGCGACACGCATCACCTCCGAGGCGGATTTCCGACCCCCAACGAGTCCTCGTTGAGGACGGGACTGACGCCGGGTGGCAGTGGTTCCATGTTCCCTGCTCCTAGTCCTAACTCTCAGCAATTATTTGCCCAGTTGGCCAGTGGCGGCGCTACGCCCAGTACCATTGATTTCCATCGCACTGCTTTGAGTGCGGCTGCAAAGCGTGACACTCAAGCCCAGAACCAAAGTCAGAACCAAAATCAGAACCAACTCCAAAACCAGAACCACAACCAGCAACAGACGCCCGTAACGTCGCAGCCGCAGGAGATGCCAAACGGCACATCTGCTGTTAAGACTGAGGCAAAGCAGTTCGACCCGCACGATAACGACGCGGCAAACGGCCTGTTTATGCTTGCTCAGGGTGCCCAAGGTCGAAACGGTGCTCCAAACGGCGGTTTTGCGACAACTCAAACACAGTCTCAGGCCCACCCCGCCCCAGCTCCGACACAAGGAGTAAACACATCGCCTCAAATGAGCGTCAACGGTGCTGGATCTGTTGGTGCGGGTTCATCAGTACGCGGTGTAAGCGAAGGCGGAAGTGCCATGTCGGATGAGAGCGAGCAAGCGCGGCCCGCAGCTAGAGGCAATGGCAAGCGCAACTCTACTGGGGGTGCGTCGACAAATGGCCGTAGAAAGGCTGAAGAGCCACCCGCCAAGGCCCCACCCGCCAAGAAGTCGAAGCCGAACAACAATATACCCCCTCCTGATATGATGAACGGGGACGACAGCCAATCGGATGATGACGACATGAAGCATGAGAACGGTGAAGGTGGCTCTAAGTCGAAGATGACTGATGAGGAGAAGCGCAAGAATTTCTTGGAACGCAACAGGTGAGCCCCATTTAATGTTGGTAGTCAGTAAGTTTTCGCTAACACCCTGTGCAGAGTTGCTGCCCTCAAGTGTCGCCAGCGCAAGAAGCAGTGGCTGGCCAACCTCCAGTCAAAGGTGGAGCTGTTCAGCAGTGAAAACGATGCTCTCACGGCCCAAATCACGCAGCTGCGGGAGGAGGTCGTTAACCTCAAGACATTATTATTGGCTCATAAAGACTGCCCTGTCACGCAGCAGCAGGGCCTTCACGGTGCCTTCATGCAACAGGCCATGGAACCATTTAATCCGCAGATGAATCCGTATGGCATGGCTGCTCCTATCCCCAACCAACAAGTCCTGGCGGCAGGTCAGGGTGTGCAGCGCCGCTTTTCATAGGATGACGAAGTCTTGTACAACAACAATCTTAAATATGAGGGGTTGAAGGCTCGGATCCACCAACGAGCAACCCATGAGGTTGCAATTATCGGCTTGCTTCAGGCGACGTCGAGATGACGACTTTTACGCTGTTTCATTCTACGGCTCAGCCAAATCTTGCGGTTCACCTGTATCATCACTATATACGACACTCTTGCTCCTCCACGATTGGGGTGCAAGGATTAGCCGGGGATAAGCTTCCCAGCGACAGAGGCAGCCCACCATGGGTAGGAGGAGGCGGGGAGTTTGGCAGGCGTCATTGGCTTGCTGCAATTGCATCAGCCCGTCATTGGAAGGGCGAGATGCGAAGCATATACATCAAAAGGAGTTCAGGTTCGGCAAGTCCATTTGAAAGGGTGTAGGCGTCAAGGGGCGGCCGATGGGAATACGCCATCTTCCGCCGGCTGGTTGACTTTGATATTGATTGCAAGTAGCAACGGTAACAAGTGCTGCATGAACGGCAACGCCTCGTGGTCATTTAATTTATGAGATTTTGCCCAAATTCAGAGGCTACTCGTCAAGTGCATGCAACTAATGTGAAGATGGTGTCCAATTAAGTGTGGAAGCTCACGAGGGTCATGAGCATGTTAAATTTTTGTTTTGAGTGTACAGCGTTCTACAAGCCCAGTTGCAAGTGAATGAAGATGGCCACTGGATCAACCTGCCAAGAGCGGTGAGTGGAACTGCTGTAAGTGAGGCAGTCATGGTCCAGGGTTGCGAGTGGCAGAGGGGGTGTTTCTAAAAGAGGACTAGCGCCGCCGCTCGGGTAAATTGTCCCTCATGTAAACAACATCGCAGAGAGGGTGCACCAGAACATCGTGCGCGCCGCCGACCACCACATCTGTAGAGAAACGCGACACTCACGACAGCACCCCGCCGGCCGCATCTCCAACAAGTTCGCAGCTACACCTAGCCGAACCGATATTCTGCGTGTTCTTGATTAAGCACGCGCCGATTGACGCGGTTTCGATTGTCTTGAGGCGCGACTTTTCGCTTCTCATTCTGAGCGCCGCCTTTTGTCTCTCGACCGCATGCCTCACTTGACGCGCCATCCATGACGACCGTCATTCGCACCCGTCACCCGTTGCAAGTTATTAGCATGAGCAACGAGCAGCCAGAGAGAAGGAAAAGCAAGCGCCTTGCCGGTGAGTCGGAGGAGCTCGGGGGGGAGGCGAGGAAAGTGCTAAAACGACGCGCAGCCTCATCGCTTTACGACGAGCAGGATGGCGACTTTCACTTCACGCGCGGATCGAAATCGAAGCGAGTCAGGAACGCGGATCGCGAGCCAGAACCTGAATCTGAACCGGCGCCACTGCCCCCCAAAAAGTCTGGAAGAGGAAGGCCGGCGAAAGAACGCGCTTCGGCAGCAGCGAAGGCGCCCGAGCCTGCGCCATTAGCAGCAGCACTGAAGGCAGCGACATCATCAAAGCCGCGAACGCGACGGACAGCGGGCTCACAACCGGTTGAAGACGATGAGCTGCAATTATTTGCGCCCAAGCGCACGACGAGACGAAACACGCGCAGTTCCACTGAAAGGACGGAGAAGGAAATGCCTGTCAGGAAACCAGCACCAGTACTAGAGGAGGAGCATGATGAGGTTGACAACGCGACACCGAGGGAGCCGGAGCCGGAGCCGGACAGGCGGCAGACGCCACGCGTCATGGAGGAACCCGTCGAGTCTGCGAAAATCACGCTTCCCGTCAGCGATACGCCTGTCATCAATCGCAACAAGGAAATGAGAAAAAAAGGTGGAGGCAATCGCCGGAGCAGTACGGGCATGCGCGGCCGGAGAGCAAGTTCGCTGATCGAGAGTGGGCATAACGCGATTCCCCACCGAGAGGTTGACGCTGCAGAATTCTACAAACATATTGAGTCGGAGGGCCTAATGGAACCAAGAAGGATGAAGCAGCTGTTGACCTGGTGCGGTGAACGAGCCTTGCTGCAAAAGCCGCCTCATGGGCAGACAGATTCTAATACTATTCTAGGGGGTGAGTAAGGAGCAAATGTTTGACGAAATCGCGCCTAAGCTGACTATTTTTTTCTCTTCTTCCCTTCCAGCTCGTTATATTCAGGAACAGCTCTTGAAGGACTTTTCCACGAAGTCAGAATTTTCGGACTGGTTCAGTCGAGAAGACGAGGGGCCAAAGAGGCCCGTTGTGTACCTACCAAACCCACGCAACATTGAGCACCAGGAGAAAATTGAGCAACTTGAACAGAAAGTCAAAAGGTATATTTCTCGGCTGTCCAAAATCACAATGACATCGGCACTAATTGGTCACAGATTAAAACAAGAAAAGAAGAAATGGCTGGCGCTAAACAAAACGCGTCAAGATATCCCGCCACTATTCCCAGAAACAGATACTGCACGACCAGCAACAGCCGATGCATCCATACTTGAACCGAACGAGGCAGAAATGCTGAGCTGGCTCACTGACCCAGCATCATCGTTCGAAAATGTCCGCGCCAAGACGCTCGCCCGCCTGCAAGACACGCAGTCAACGCTGGAGTTTAAGGTGGACCAGCTCGCGGACGGCATACACAAGCTTTCTCAACGAGTCGACACAGCAGGCCGAGAGGCGGATAAGGTCCTCTCTCTCAGCGCCGCGCGGCTTAAGGAGCGGGAGGTGAGAGAAAAAGCCAACGCAGGCACGAAAGAGATGCCTGTCATGGAGGTGCTCCGCAGCCTGGGGAGGATACTACCAGAGGGCGGGGAATAAAGGAACGTTGTACACACATGAGCCTACTTGCCTCTGGTTTTTGCGCGCGCTGCCGTCCGTCCCCTTTCTTATGACGAAGGTATAATGATTGATATGAGATTGTGGTGGTTCGGGAGGCTCATCCATCTTTTGATTTTGCTTCCCTTGGGGTTCTATCGAGATGGTTATCTCAGGACGGATTGGGCAGGCAGACAACATCTCGTCTTGTTTCGCTGCTTGGCATGGAATTGGCGCTGGAGGGGGGCTTAGGGATGGATTTGAGATACAGACAGCATCTCGAACGGAGTTTTCATTTAGCCAAATACCCACATGTTCTTTCGCTATCGACACGTCGGCAGTCTGTTCTTGTGACGCGATGCTGGAATGTGTCGGTCGGTCCGCGGCCATGTCGGATCCATGTTGGCATTCGTGAATATGCCTGACGATATAACTGTCCTGGGCGCGTTTTGTCTGTTTTTCGACTTGTAGCTCAGACTATCCAGAATATTAGAGAAATGCTACGCGACCAAGCTTTGTGGCATCGCTGCATCACCACTACATGTTCTTGTTTTTTAATCCACTACTCGGCAGCCCACTTGTGTGGTAATGTGCAGATCAACACAGTCCCAATCTTGCTAAAGAACTACGCAAGGGTCCTGTTATCAATGCTACTTTGGTGCACGATCCAAGCCACCTCCGCGCGCCCGTTGAGATCGAACCGTCATACAGTGTCGGTCGCCACAAATACGGTAGCAACTCGCACCGTCCGAGCTCCATCAGCATGAAGGGTCCTATACGGTTTTCGAAGCGAACTACATACGGAGAGGCTTTGCTCGTGGAATCTTCGTTCCTACCTCGGTAACAAAATGACCTCGAGCCCCTCGCACCTATCACAGCGTCCAAGTTTGTCAGACGACAACTTTAACCAACTTCGAATTCTTCGCTTCCCCCCTCCCCCTCAAAGCGTATTCGACAGCTCAGGGGCAGCAACACAACCGAACGTCATTCTACACATCAGAAGGCTAAGATAAAAAAGAAAATGTCGACATTAGCCCGCCGTGCCCTCCGCCCGGCCCGCCACCTCCGAGTCGCGGCGCCGGCCGCCGCACCTCTCGTCCTCCGCAGGTGCTTCGCTGACAACAAGCCGCCCATCTACACCGAGTCCGCCGTCAACAGCGAACTGGGCGTTGGCGAATTCGAGGGCATCAAATTCCGCGTCGAGCCGCTGCGGCGCAAGGGCGAGGACGAGCGGACCATGCGCGCCCGTCTCCTCTGTATGTGTCCTTCCTACCACGGAATATAAGAGAAAGAGAGAGAGAGAGAGAGTCGCAATTCAGATCTTGGAAGTTTGAATGCTAATCACGCCTGTTGGAACCAAAAACAGACCAGTCCCGCAAACGCGGCACCCTCGAATCAGACCTCCTCATGTCGACTTTCGCCAACGAGCACCTCCCGCACATGACAAAGGCCCAGATGGCGAAGTACGACCTCTTCCTCGACGAGAACGACTGGGACATTTACTACTGGGCCACCCAGGAAGAGGCCCCCTCTGCCTCGGCATCAACCCAAAGGACTTCCTCCACGACATCCGACACCCTCGCCTCCTCAACCGCCAACGCAGCCGAGTCCTACCGCCCCGCAGGCTCCGGCGCCGCCTCGACAATCGACTCGGGCAAGACGACGCAGACCAAGAAGCCTCAGGAGGACGTCCGCACGCAAGACGTGCCGGGCGAGTGGGCCAACACCATCGGCTCCTTCAAGGCGCAGTACCGCCCCGTTCCCGTGCGGTGGCAGGGCAGCGAGATTTTGGAGATGCTGCGAGCCCACGTGCGGAGCCGGCGCGCCGACGGCACCGTCGGCGTGCACCGGGACGTGCAGGAGCGCAAGGAGGGCGGGCTCGGGTTCATGCCGCCCTTGTTTGACGTTGACAATGCGGGCAAGAAGAACTAGATTGTTGCTCTCGCATGACAAGCCACAAAAGGTAGCTTGGGAGACAGAACACATGTGCGAGATGCGGAAGGTAGAGGGAGTAGGATTATAGAGGTTTGAAATACTGTACCATTATCTATCAGGAACAATCACATTATGGGAAAGGGGTGGGGCATAGGGGCATGGTACATCATAGATGGCTTCGTTGGAAGCTTTCTTGCATAGTCAACGGATGGAGAGAGCGCGAGCACATGCGAGGTGGAGGTGTAAGATGGTGACTTGCTTCAAAGCTTCATTGAAAGCTTCGACACATGGGGCGACGTTGTACACCAAACTGTAATTTGACAGCAATTGAGGGCTGCTACTAGCATGGGTGCGGCAATAGAATCAGCCCTTAGCCAGGCATCGACTTATCGGGATCGTGAAGTCAGCCGGGCATCGTGGCTTGACGTGCGTTCAATGCAGCAATGTCCGCTTCGTGCCAGCCCCTCGCCGGCCCCATGACAGCGAGGACTAAGTTGCATATGTAGATTCTGGTGTAATGTAATTTCCGTTATATCATTCATGACTTTTATGGTGACCGTCGTATGTATGCATACACTAATACACCCTCGAAACCCCGAGGTGGTTTTGATGCTTCCAATGGCATCACAGAGACTCATCATCACCGCTGCGCAACAGCAGCATATCTGTCGTCTTCCGCAACTCCTTTACGCCATCGTCAAGTCGTTGGCTGGCTTGCTTCTTTATTTCATGATTGATTGAGTCTAAATCAGGTGCTTAGATCTGTCGCGTAACTTGTTAGCTTTCAAGACTTTACTAAAGGAGACATGGAAACAAGCACAAACCTGAAGTATGCCCGCAGGTACATGATCTGCCAACCCCACAGACCGACGAGAATGAGCGTCGTGCCGATGCCGAACCACTTGACACGGGTGTTAGTGCTCTCGTTGGTGTCGCGCAGCTTGTGCTCGCGCGCGCGCAGGTAGTCCATCTCGGTGTTGATCTCGCCGACGAGCTCGTCGATGCGCCTGAGCTCTGCCTCGACGGGCTTGAGCTTCTCCGTCGCCTGGATGGCGTTCCAGTCCTTTGCGTCGGCGCCGATATCGATGTCGAGTTCAATGTGGCGGCTTGTTGCGCCGCTGCGGCCAGCTGTTGGATGTTCACTCTTGTCAGCTTTTTTTTTTTTTTTGGTTCTTGTCCTCCTTAGAGAATGTGGTAGGGGCATTGCTTATGGGAAGTGTTCAGGCCATTCACATGACAATGTGGGTGTGTAGATGTGACGTACAGCCAGAGAGGATGTTCTCGAAACAGACGTCGAAGGCGGCGTCTGCATGGGAGGTGAAGACTACACGCTTTTCGCCGCCCGCAATGTCCTTGGGTTTTCCGTAGTCGTTGCCAACAGCGTCCTTTATCTGCAGAGTCATTCGTCGTTAGCCAAACTCCCATTGTGGCCGACTTTTCCCTTCTTTTCCACTTCCCCCCCCTGTTCTTATCCTGTTCCGATCTCTGAAAAGCTTCATCCCTTCCGAGGGCCAGTCCCAGCACCGCGGAGGATGATGGAGGAGGGGTAGCAATTAAGGCCACATACGTGCATGTTGACGGTCATGCCGTCACCCTTTGATCCGTCCACAATAGCAGTGACGACGACCAAGGTATCCCGAGCGACGAAATTGCGGATGCATCGCTCCTTCTTGCCCTCGTGACTGGTCGTGGCTTGCAAGTCGAACCTGAGCGCCTGGGCGCAGCAGGCGAATAGCACGAGGCCGCACACATAGTGCAGTAGTGACCTTGTCGGCGCCATAGCTTATTCGCAAATCCGTATCAAATTCGAAGAGGGAAAAAGGAGTCGATCGATTCGGGGTCGGTGAAAGTCGACGGTCGTAAACGGGTGTGCCGAGAAAGGAGGGAGGGGAGAACAAGCCTGGCGTGGGTGGGAATTGCGTCGTGAAGGAGCTCCCTGGACTGGACACACTACGATAGGAGAGCTACGCCTAGGTAAGGAACCACCTTTTGGGGGATTTTTGGAAATCTGTCGCGTTCGAAAGCCAGGACCACTCAAAGACCCCTGTCGACGGGTAGGTCGCCGCTCTGGCCAATTGGACTCGGCCGGTGGGACAGCCTCGTGCTTGGCACTCACGTGAGGCAACAGCCTCGCAACTTTTTGGGTTTGGCGTTTCTCGCGCCTGGCGCGCCGCTGCTACTGCCTTATTCTTCGCGATGCGACGACTCTTTTAACGGCATTGCAGTTTGAGGATCAATACATTTGTCCAGTAACTGCTGCGTCCCCGAAACCTTGCCAAACCAATCTAGCATCTTCTCATAACGAGATATTCTCGCCAAGATGCCCAAGTGTAAGTCCCGACCTCGTCCAAATAACTGGCCAAAGAATAAGCTAACACGAGGTCCCAGTCTTCTGTACGTCTCCATCACCCCAAGCTCCCCACGATCGGTCGCGAAGCTACTTCAGTCGAACTGACACAAAACCTCCATGTCTAGGCGACTACTGCGATGTGTACCTCACGCATGATTCCATGAGCGTGCGCAAGGCGCATAACAGCGGTCGAAATCACCTGCGCAACGTCGTCGACTACTACCAACGTGCGCTTCTTCCTTCCCCCCTTCGCCCATCCCCAGCAGAGCCTTCGAAGCTAATTTTGCAATTTCCATTTAGAAATCGGCCACGAGAAGGCCCAGTCTGTCATTGACTCCATCACCTCCTCCTATGCTGCAGAAGGCCAAGCCCACAACAACCCAATGCTGCCACAAAACCAGCCCGGATCGGCTTTCCCGCCACCCTTCCCTTTTCCAGGAGGTTCGTACACAACCTCCCCCTCAGTGTACCTGTCGCGACGACTCATTACATCAAATACTAACTTGAATCTCTACAGGCGTCCCGCCTCCCTTCCCCGGCATGCCCGCCGGTGCACCCCCCTTCCCTCAAGGCATGATTCCACGTAAGTCTCACTACTACCCAGAGTCCCACCGGGAATCCTTCCAAAGGTAGACTCACACGCTGACACGCCACACTGGAAAAAGCCCCCGGACAAGGCGGACGCGGAATGCCGCCGATGCCGCCCTTCCCCCCCGGCCCCAACGGCTCACCAATGCCCCCAGGAGGTCTCCCGTTCCCCCCGCCCGGAGGTCTGCCAGCCGGCCTCCCATTCCCACCCCCAGGCGCGCCGGGCGGTCTCCCTCCCAACTTTCAGTTCCCCGGCATGCCGGGCGCGGGCGCCTTCCCACCAGGACCTCCTGGCGCCTTTCCGCCTGGTGGCGGACCTCCGGGACAAGACAGGCGGTAAAAGATAGTTTTGTACTAGTAACAGCATACTCTCACGGACGGGAGCGTCTTCTTCATGGTACGGTGGGATTGGTGTTTAGGCGTCACAACCAGGGAGGGTATAAAACTTCATGATATGGCATGGTACATCACATTCAACACATAGTAGAAGCTATCCTGAACTTCAAAGGACCGAGGTATTTTCGTTCTGAACCTTGGATAAAATGGTATCTTCACGAGCAATTTTTTCTATATGATACAACAATAAGAGGCCCTCTTTATTTATAGCAGACAGCGCGCGTTCATCAAGCCTGACCAGTCCCAACCGTATCATAAACATCGTCACGAGGTCTCAAGGTGTGAACTTTGCCCCATCATCAGCTCCGAATCCGCGAAGAAATAGTTCTTTGGTCGTTAAGTATTGTAGTCGTAACAAAATCGTTCGTAGCAGTCGTAATATCCCATCCATTCCTCCACTACTCGTTCAGTGCTCCAATCCCAGATATATTACGCGAAAACGCTCCAGATTAATAGATCTGGAAGACAGTAATTTTTGTACGTTGAATCGATCAAAAATGGGCGACAGATGTGTTGTTTTGTTCGTGGGGGCCGCGGTGCGAGTTCCGTCGAAGGACGTCACCCATGCCATCTCTCACTTCGCGCGGCCCGCTGATTTTCTGCCTCAGCTCCTGCGTCCTCTTCTCTCGCTTACGCTCGTTCAACTGTCGTGGTATATTTTGCAAGCCCTCTAGAGTGCCCGAAATCGAAAAGCGCCGTCTCCGTTTCGGACCAGCTCGGTCATTTGCGGCGCGGTCGTCGTCTGGCCTCATTGAAGGCCCAGAACTGGGCGGCAGTTGATCACGGAGTGAGTCGAGGCTGCTACGGCGTCTCATGACCCGGAGGTTTCCGCTGTCTGTCCGGCGGATGGTCCGGCGCTCAGGTTCATCCTGAGGCCCTGAGGAGTAGATATCATCCTCGCCACGAACAGGAAGGATGGCAAACGTCTTCTTCATCCGCTCGCTAATGCGTCTTCGGGGACTCGGGCGATTGTCAATGGGGGGGTATCGATAGACCTGGCTGATGGGTTCGTCCTCCATTTCTCTCTCCCACACATCATCCTGCCGGTCAGAGTACGCAGGGCGCCAGTGCGGATGCAATCGGTCGTCCTCGGGCGGCGGGGCCTCACAATCCGGGCACGAGCATGGATCCTCCATAGAAGAATGGTCTTCACCGCGAGGCCCGGAGCTTGATCCTCTCCGCGTAAGAGAAAAAGTCCTGGTGAGGAGCCCAGGTCTGCCACTCTTGGGCGGGTACGTCTCCGAATTTCGTCGTCGGACCAGTGCCCTCTTAATGACAGATCTACTCCGCTGAGGTTGCTCATCCACCATCGCCTCGAAGTAGTTGCCCATGTTGCGTTGTCTCTCATGATTAGGTGTCAGCCCCGAAGGCGTGGCGGGAATGAACTGGATTACAGGAGGTATAACCGGAGGGACCGGAGGAGCCGCGCGGGGGTTGCGAAGTGGTGAATCAACGTCGTCCATAGAATGCTGATGCTGTGGAGGCGTGATTGGAAATTCGCCGCCTGGCCCCGTAGTGATGATCGTAGGCCGCTGAAACGTTTTTGGCAAGTCTCTCTCGGTCTGAGAATCCTCAGAGTCCTCCGACGGCTTGTTGGAGTGATTGACGACAAGAACCGATGAGTTTTGATGAGGATACAAATTCACAGCCTTTGCCTCTGACACTTCGGGCGCAGTACCGCTCGTTTCTACTGAGGCTGCTGAAAAGGGAGTGTTTTGCGTTGATAGGCGTTTGCCAAAGAAGGGATCTCCGTGGCGATCTACGTTGAGTTTATGGTCTTGATGATGGTGGCCGTTATCAGTCTCAGAGGAGGTGGCCCTTTGGAGGGTCAAGGCGGGTACTCTCGTTTCATGTCCAACCTGTTGGTTCAACAAAGCGTTCTGTGATTTCAAACTTTCCGCAGTGAGTGAGCCAGCGCGGGAAGTATTACGGCTGGTCGGAGCGGATAGAGACGAAGAACGCTTCGGGATGACGGGTGGGTAGTCAATCGTACGTTGGTCAGACCCATCCGACTCGGACATTGAGCGGAATCTTCGCCCTGGCCGTTCGAACACTGGTGTAGACAAGTCGTGGCTCTTTGGACCGTTTGCACGAGGCGCTGACCCGATACTGGCACTTCTTTTGGACCGTCGACTGCTGGTTGACCTCAGGGACGGCTCCCTGCTGGATCTGGATGATCGACGATCCGGGACAACGATGACCGGAATGCCACCGCTCTTCCAGACTTCTCTGCGTGCCTTACTACTCGAAATCGAGTTGAATGTTGTATTCGAGGCAAAACTGTCATGACGGCTTTCGCTAGGACGAGCGAGCGCCCTCGTTCTCCTTGGACTTCCTCCCAGCTGAATAGCCGAGTTTGTGGCAGAGCTGAGGGGAGACGGATCAGAGCCCGAGTCCCTCAACCCAAATTGCTTTCGTACGTGTCTGAGTGTCTGTCTTCTTTGTGGGATTGAGGGAGCTTCTACCAAGATTGCCTCGACAACCGTAGAGGCAGCGGATTTCGTTGACTTTGCAGATTTTGCAGACATTCCCGACAGTCTGCGAGAGTCAGCGTCGACTGTCGTTCCCGGGGTCGAGGTGTTGCGCCAAGCGATTTCGCTGGGTGCATAGAAAGCTGCCCTATCACGTTGGGACATCGCGCGCAACGCCTTGGTAGCGTTTGTCGGCGTCACAACGCGGTCTTCTATGATTTCGACCCTACGTCTTCCAGTCCGAGGCGGCGTTTCGGGCTTTGGACGCCTTTTTCTCACGGTAACATTTCTGCCCAGATTGTCATCCCACTCTTGTTCTACTTCGTTATTTGAGGCCCATTCTCCGTCAAACGTGCCAAAGTCTCCCTTAGCTTTGGGCGTTGGAAGATCCTCAGGAGGCGACTCCAGTCCCAGGCCTAGACCGACTGGAGGCGGCGTCCTCACCTGAGGTCCGGAAACGCGTCGAACAGTATTCTGAGAGGTTCGTGCTGAGAGAATGTTTGGCCGAACGGTCGATTGCAAGTCTTCTTCAGAGGAAAAGGGCTCTTCTCTAGCGGTTCGAAAGGATTCTGTCCGCGACTCAGCGGTAGTAGCTTTCGACACTTTGCGGTCGATAGTTATCGGTCGCACAGCCTTGGGGCGAGTAGCAGGTTGAGGAGGCGTCACATCCGGTGTTGGTGGACTTTTCTGGTTCGGAGGTGTAGCGGGTGGGCGCGCTGGGGTTGTTGGTGGCTGTGGTCCCAGCCCATGGGGTTCGGCAGGCGCCGGGCTGGGAGGCTGGATGGAGTGACTGCTCGACGAGGTTCGTGAGTGGGAGTGAGAAGGCGGTGTCGGAGGCAAATCCGGGCCACTGCCTATCCGCTTAGGTTGATGCCTCAGTGTTTGAGGGCTCTGTTGTTGGGGACCACGCATTTGCGACGCTACAGCGTCAACATCGAGGTCGTATTTCCTGGGCGTCGATCGCACTTCGAAGTATTGCGTGTCGCTTCCACTTTTCCTGGGATGCGGTAGCACTTTATGCTTCTTGAACATTCTTTGCGCTTGCAAGCCGTCTTCGGGCAAGGTCGAAACGTGCTTCGTGGATCGGACAGACATGGCGGTAGAGCTCAGGCTCTCAGCAGCCGTCATCTTCAGATCACGTTTGTTGAAAGACGTCAGAAAGACATGCGACGCGCTCCAAGTGCACACACGTTGACCCCTTCGCAGGTTAGCGAGGATGTGAGAGGGCCAAAGGTGTTTGCATGCTGAACAGAGTGAGGTTCATGAGCGTGTTGGGGCTTGTGATGAGGAAATGAGCGGTCGATAGTACGACGTTGGACGGTTCGAAGTTTCGAGTGAAGAAAGGTGAATGTTTGAAAAGCCGGTAATAGCAGAGAGGAGAAAAGTATTAAGGGTATGCGTGAGACATTGAATCGGAAAGACCTGGTTGGTAAATCGCGTCGGGGTCCAGTGGCGTCCAGTGACCGATGACAGTCATGAGAGAGACAGCGGAAGCTATGGGACGGAAGACAATCCTCAAGTTGGTTCAATCCAGCGATATGAGACGGGAGCTCTGTGGTTGAAGGAGTAGAGGCCCGTCAATAGTGCTTGAGGCGAAGAGTTGGTCGCAGGAGTCACGATGTAGGGCCCGCGTTTTGTGTGGGAGAGGGAGGGATGAGGCGAGGATGGGTACTCGGACGAGGGATGCGGTTCGATCGGGTTCAAATCGCACAGACCGACGTAGGGAGAGGGGAGGGGGGGTCAGAGAGAGAGGACGGGACGGATATGTGAGATTGACGCTGAACTTCGGCCGGGCTTGGTGAAAGCGTGAAAAGAAGAAAATAGCGATCCTAGGCTTCCTGCGGCCTGCGGACGGACGCTGGCGCTATTTTGGTGCAGGACACGGCTTCAGGAGGTTGAGACGAAGGACATGGTCGACGGTTGGAGGAAAGACAGACGGGAAGGATGATTGGCAGGGCGGGAAAGGGTCTGACGCAAAGGAAAGAGAATACGCCGTTGGGGGAGAAGAGACAAGGGCAGAGCAGACTTGGAGCAGCAAGTTTCCGGACGTGGGAAGATTTGGTGGCAGAGAGTTGCAAAGGTAGGCAGAGGCAAGGAGGCGGGAGGAAAGCTGGCGATAGGTGCGAGAAAGAAGAATGGCGGGGCGCGCGCGGTAAATGGGTACATGATACTTGCATCATTCAGGTGCTAGGAACCCTACCTTACCTTACCTACCTAAAGTAACTAAAGTAAGGTGAGGTAAGGTGAGGTGAGGTAAGGTAGAGAGGTCGAGCTCTAGTGGGACTTGGCCAGGTGAGAAGAGAAAGACCCGACGGTTCAAGGTATCCTCCTACTGCGGACTGCTAGAAGAGGTACTTCAGACATGTTAGTCCAATGGGACGTCCAACCAGTTGGTTTCGTGGCGAGTGCGAGCGAAAAAAAGACTGGGCAGCCCAGTCGCAAACTGTGCGTATTCCGCGTGGACAGTGGATTCGGGGCCTTTCCAAACCTGCCGAGACAAGGTGACTCCCAGCGAGAATAGTACCTACCTCCCGTGCTCCCGTCAGGTATTACCTCAGTCTCCAAAGTCCACAAGAGGGCGGAAGACGAAGTGAGGTAGGTGGCCTAAGAAAATTCGGGTGGCGGGGAATCGAAGAACCAGGCAGATAGATGCCCTGCCTGACGAAGACAAACTCTCTCTCTCTCTCTCTCTCTCTCTCTCTCTCTCTCTCTCATCTTGCCCACAGACAGTCGTGTCAGTGTACATCAACATGATGGATGTTTCACTCCCCAGCCATGGTCCAAGATCTTTGCACTCGCAGTCTTCTCCCCTCCGTCGTTTATCCCCTTTCTTCGTCAGTAGCATTGGGGTTCGTCTCGTGATGCGCAACTTTGCCAGGATAGGCGCGTATGGCCAGCAGCAGTAGCTCCGCCAGGGGTGCCGAATGAGGAACTCGTCTACCATCCCAACTGGTCCGTAGGGCACTACACGGGTACGCGGGCTCAAGTCGGCCGGGAAAGATGGGGCCGGCCAGTACCCACCCTCCAGCAAATCGACCTGCACCAAGGTCGCAACGGCCTCTCATAGGTTGCATCTGCTTGAGTGGTTGCATCGTGCTGCAGCGTGGTTTCCTTCTTCTGCAAAGCCATGCCAACTTTTTTCTGATGCATTCGCTTGCCTTTCTCCCCTCTCTCTCCCCCCTCTCCGTCTCCCCCTCCCCCTCCCCTCTATCCTCTCACTATTATCTCTGTCGGGTGTCTTCTTATGCGTGTGCCGGCGTCCTTGTTCCTCTACCCCCGTCTCCGTGGTCTCCCCCCCTTTACCTGTGTGCAAGCTTTACCGCCTGGTACGCAACAATACTCACCAAGATAGGAATGATTTCTGAGAACGGTACGGCCATGGAGTCGAGTACGTTCTTGCCTTTGATGGCAGTACCCAACTTCCGACTATCCGCATGTCATATCGATGCGTCTTTGCTGGCTGTGGGAAGATCACTGTGTCATCCCATCTCGCAAATTGTTTGTCTTGCTTCTGTAAGCGATTCCAACGCCCAACCACGCCATTCGGTCTCCCATACGGATATACAATGAAAATGAAAATTAAAGCGCAGATGCAACAACAAAGAAATCGTAACCACCTTTTCCCATCAAATCAAAGCTGCCGGATCGCTCAGGACAACTTGGCGTCGTCTCTCAGGCCTGCATAACCTCGAACAAGGCCCGAGGCGAATCAGCGACTTGTCATGGCTTGCTGCATGAGACAAGGTGCAGATTTGGAAACAGAGCCACTGCAGTGGATGCACAGAGACAGGAAGCGACTTACGATGGCCGCCTTCAAATTTCCCCTAGAACAGCGGCACACAGAGACCAGCTCGCTCCACTGAGTATGAAGAGAAATACGAGTCGACCCCCGTACTACGAGGTTGTAGAAATGTTCTCCTGAATCATCAACCGGGAATTGGCGAATACCATTCTTGCAAGCTTCCGGGCTGAGGGGTAGTCTTCCGTCGTTGAAGTGTTCCGAGTCGGGCGGCCGCCCCTTGTTTTAGTAGGTGCAACGTCTTCAAACGTTTTTCGCTGCTCTGTCCTGCTCTGTCAGCCGGGCCGTCATGTTTCAGCCGGAAAGGCCTCCGCGTCCGGCGATGGCACCGGAGCGGAGCACTCACGAGCTCCGCCATTTATGTCAGGGCTTGCCAGGCCAGACTCGGTCCGGTGCGGGTCGGCAACCTAGCGAGGTTGGATGAGCGTCAAAGTCATGACAGATCCGGCACGTCGGCACGTGCTAATGGGCCGTGGCAGAATAAAAGCACCCAACGGAATGGGTTGAACGCTCAAGCAAGCCGCATGGGACAAGAAACCGATGAGGTTTTAAGCGTGACGCTGGACATTGCCAGCACCATTTGGCCGATGCAAATGCGTGGGACACCAAAGAATCCTCATTGGTCTCGAGAGGACATCTCAAACATTCGATGAAGCCGACTGCCGGGCAAGCGGCCTGCTTATCTCTTCTCCAGATCCGACCTTGCAAGGTGTAACACTTCATTGCCGCTGTCGATATCTGTCCAGGCGAGCGGCCTGTAAACCGTGCATGACGGGTTGCAAGTGCACCGAGGTGGCCGTTACTGCTGGTTTTCCTATTTGAGTAAGCGCTTAGCACAGCTTGCATGTGCTAGCGTGCCGTAGCTTTATCTTATCAGCCCCGCGTCGGTGTTGCCCCACGTCATCGAAGAGGACTCTCGTCTGAAGTCCGAGGAACCTTCTTCGCCAATGCGCTTTTGAAGAACAAGGACTATGTAGAGGGACCATTTCACATTCACCGATTCATGAACCAATCTAGTTCAGGGCCTTGCCATTGGCTTGGAGGACTCTACTCGTACCAATCCGATGGGCGCTTCCCCGCAGAACCAGGTTGGTGCTGGCCACGCTACAGACTCGTTCTTCAAGACCCAGCTGATGACCCTGCAGAAGGTGCATTTGAGGAACCCATTTCGGCTTATCTCTTTCAGAGTTTGCATCATAATACCGACAACACTCCAACCTAACCCCGCCTTGCTCGCGGCGTCCAGACCGTCCGTCCTAGGACCTACAGACTCTTGGACCGCTCTCTCCACGGCAGTGGCTTCGCCGCCCGCCCGAGTAGTAGGCAGAACCCTGCCACGGCCTGCACCAGGCGTTTGATCCCAGGGTCTTCCACCCGGAGTACCTTGCAGAGGCCAGGTACTCGAAGCCAATCGAAGCTTGAACCAAGCATCTGCGCTGATCTTGCAAGCATCATGACATTGGAGATGGGAAGGGAGCTTTATCTCTTGCCCCGCATTGCCAACAGGTCTGCCGTGGCCCTGGTCTTTACCTAACTCGAACACGTTAATCGTTTGACCGACATTGCGTCTGATGGTCTCCAATTGACCAGTGACCGTCCCAGAGAGTTCCTGTGGTGTGACTAGTATGTTGACGATAAGCTTGCGAGCCGGTCCTGGGGCCATACCTGATGCCCATCATTCAGCATTATGCGTGGAGAAGAGCTGTCGAAGTTCAGCCAATCTGCTTCTGACGTATACCGGGACCTTGCAGCACGCCGAGATTCATAAAGACAAGACTCTTCCCCTTCACAGACTTCCGACGTTGCCCTAAGCAATAACTGTAATTTCAAATCACCATATTGTCGACCATCAGCATCATGGTCTCTCCAAGCATCCTCGCACTCTGCCTTGCGGCAATCGTTTACGGTCACGGCGACCATGAAGACCATCAAAAGTCCATGTCTGGACCTCATCAGTCTCTCTGGTATAACACGATTCCGGGTGACGGCGGCACTCAGGTAGGAAACGCCACTGGGCTGGCCCTGGAGCACTCTCTTACACAAATTACAGGCCGACTCTGTGTTCTCAGGCATTTCTACCTTTGGTCGCCTGCCATACCAGCCCTGCCTGGGTGCAAAGAATGTCAAGTACGATATTGCTTTCATTGGTGAGTGGAGGTAGATAGCACTCGACTATGAATGTTGCTTACACGGCGCAGGCGCCCCCTTTGACACTGGTACTTCGTACCGCCCCGGTGCTCGCTTTGGCCCATCAGGAATTCGCCAGGGCTCACGCCGCCTGAACCTCTAGTGGGTCTATGTCCATTTCGAGTTGATGTTGCGCGAGAGGAAGAATACTTACACCAGCCAGCGGAGGTTACAATGTGCCGTTGGCCACCAACCCGTTCAATAGCTGGGCCACTGTCCTAGACTGTGGAGACATTCCAGTAACATCGTGAGAAGCCTATACGCACCTAGCTTACCAATTTGCTAACTTGGTACAAGGTACGACAACACGTGGGCTCTGCACCAGATCGAGGAGGGACACTTTGAGATCCTGTCTCGCCAACCTGCGACAGATGCGGCGAAGAAGGGACCTGCGAAGAATGAGCGCACCCTGCCTCGGGTCATCACTCTAGGCGGTGACCACACCATCACCCTACCCCTGCTGCGTTCCATCAACCGCGCCTACGGTCCCGTGTCTGTCATCCACTTCGATAGCCATCTCGATACATGTAAGTCCAATGATGCAACGAGTGGCGGATAGCAAGACTCACATCGTCTAGGGCGCCCCAAGGTCTTTGGCGGTTCTCCGTCAGAAGTTGCCAGCATCAACCACGGCACCTACTTCTACCATGCCTCGCAGGAGGGCCTGCTGCGCAACGATTCGAACATCCACGCTGGTATCCGCACGACGCTCAGCGGACCCAGTGACTACGAGAATGACGGATACTGCGGCTTTGAAATCGTCGAGGCTCGCGAGATTGACAAGATCGGCACGGATGGCATTATTAAGAAAATCATTGACCGCGTCGGCACCAAGAACCCGGTCTACCTCTCTCTGGATATTGACACCCTTGACCCTGCTTGTACGTGATTCAACAACTTGAAGTTCTGCAGAAAAGCTCTTACTGACTGCGGCATGTAGTCGCTCCCGCTACCGGAACACCCGAGACGGGAGGCTGGTCCACCCGCGAGCTTCGTACCATCCTTCGTGGCTTAGAGGACCTCAACCTGATTGCCGCTGATATTGTGGAGGTTGCTGTAAGTCCTCTTTTTTGATCCTGTTGCAGCGGCGTGGAAAGGATGATTCAAAGCTAATCAATGAATGATAGCCTGCTTACGATACCAACGCCGAGCATACCACCATGGCTGCAGCTGATGCGCTCTACGAGATCATGAGCATTATGGTCAAGCGCGGCCCCCTCAGCGCCATGGTCAACCAGACCGAGGTCAGTGAGGAGCTGTAGGAAAGAAACATCACAATTTGATGGGGGAGACCGGAATAAGCCGACACTAGTACGGTAATACAGTATGGAAATCCATTGGCAAGGATGGTGGAAGATGGTGTTTCTGACGGGACCGGCGCTGTCGGAGCTTGGAGTTGTGAGAGCAAAAGTTGACAGAAGAAGATGTCACTAGGGTGTGGCTGGGCCGCGGTCAATAAATGAATGATTCTGGCAACGAACAGCGTCGACTTATCCATCTCACAGGCTTTATAACATTTCAACAGCCAGCCAAGTTTGAGTCAGACGTGTTGCCGACGATGCGTGCTGAAGCAAAAAGAACACCAATGATGTCATTCTCCAACGGCGAGAGCGGCATTGGCTGGTTGATTGATTGATACCTTCGTTCCGCGATTCTCAAGCACCAAACCACCAAACAAAAACGTGTCACATCAGCTGAACCAACCTTTCAACTCGATGCTTAATTATCCCTAGCCTCAATTGCAGCCCACAGCTGGAATGTCCGGCCACGCGCCCGATTGTGACGCGAATTGGAATGCTCATAGAGGGACGCGCACCAACTCTATGGGTACCTATTAGTTGAGCACAGACCCGGACGCATCGGCGGACCCTACGGCACGTTGCCCACCTTGGAGCTCGGGAGCGGCGGGGCGGCCTCCATCATCTGTGCACCCTCTGCTTGGTGACAGGGTCTCTAAGTGTTTCTATTTTCGTCGCAGGGCTAAGAGGTGGGTTGCTAGCGAAAAAGATGGCCGGGGGCGCATGCCAGTGAACTCGTACGCCAACTATCCTAGGATAAACTAATCCACTCCAGCTTACTCCGTACCTACCTGACTTTGAAGTTTGCGCAACCAATACTTTTGGCCAGAAAATACCTTTTCCAGCCTTTCCAGGACGCGTGACAAGCAGCGCTACCTAGCCGTGCCATCTTGGTTCGGATCGAGTTCAAAGGGAATCAATAATACCATTGTGCCACGCCACCCGGACAAGCGTCTTCGCAGAGGCCGATCGATTAGCGACTGAGGCGATTTCGATGTTAAACGAGCACTCGTCGACTGATGGGCGCATTCCGGCCGTCTGATCGGTTTTTTGGATGCGCCGCCACGGATGTTGGTCAAGCTGAAGCCATGAGGCAGCTGCCTCAGTTCACCTGGTTTCTGTCTTCCGGAGAAGCTGTCAACCTTGCTGGGCAGTTATGTCGACGCAGCAGCTCGCACTAGCAGTGGAAGCCACCAGCCATCGCGTGCTACGTCGCAAACTGACACGAAGTTTTCAAAGTATTGCTCCTTCTCTTATCAAAAAGGTGAGACAACTGACACGAGTGCAAACCCGAAAGTGGCCGGAGAAAGTGGAGTTGCGTGTGAACCCCGCCGCTCGCACATTCCACATCTGAGAACGGTTGCGAAGGGGTGTTGGATATGCACGTTGAGAGACATATCTCACACGTGCATCCGTCAAACTACCTTGTCGTCGCCCGCTTTAGTGAGCTTTTCCATCGACGAGTGTCCTTCTTGTCGTGAGTGGGGAATCATCGCGGAACCAACGTCGTTTTACATTGAGAGTTAGCAATGGCGAATCATGTATAGTTTTCGGTCGAGCAGCCCCCCGGGCCGGTCGTGTCCAGCCTGAAAAGTCGCAAGATCATGCACGAGAAGAGCCACGATGAGAGGCTGAAGGCAAGAGAAGATGCTCGTTTCATCCCCATGAGGAGACGCGTTGCAGGGAGGGATTGCAAGCCGCTCGGTGATGTTAGTGATGTGGTATGACCCTATTGAAATGTCTCTGCTTCTTCTACGGGCAACACGCAGCCGACGGCGGAACCTGGCACGAGGGGGGTTTCCCTTGGCCTGCCATCCGTCTCCTATTCCTTTCCTCCGTGCTCCCTATCTGTAAGCTGCACGAACTGACCCCAGGGTTTCCGGAAAACTGGTTGCAGAACGGCGCAAGGTGGGATAGGATACTACTAGGCCGCGAAGAGAGGTTCAGAGGCAGCCAGGTCCTCTTGACTACCTTGGGAAAGAACCTTCCAAGAAAAGACACCAACAGCAATCCGATTCGCCCATCGGCAGGCCCGCCCCAAGATCCCAACGCGCCGCTACCAGCTAGCCAGTTCCCAGCCCCAACCTGGCTTCGCCATCGCGGTTGACGTTTGTCTCAGCGCCGCCGCCGGTTTCTCTCGTCTTCGCCTTTCCGAGCTCAGCGGGTCCCGTCTTTTTCTGCAGTGAATAGGGCTTGAATTTAGGTACCCAACTTGGCTTTTGCTCGCGCTAGCCTCTGAAAGCTGATCCCAGCCATCTTGACTCTCTTCTTTTCGTGCCTGAAGATGGCTTCTTCTGTCCCCTCCCTAGAAGCTTTGCTTCACACCCATCTATCTATATATGGACCACCATGATACCACCCCTATCCCTTCCATTGGTTCCCTCGTTATCAACATTAATATCTCACGCCGCGTCTCTCGTTTGTGCGAGCTCAGCTACACACAGCCTTCGTCTATCGTCGCCTCTATCCTTTCTACCTCGCCAACATCACCATCGCGGCGACCTACTTAAATTGCATCAACATGAAGACATCCGCTACCCTCGTCCTCGCCGCTTCGGCGCTGGCCTCAACCCAAGTCACATAGTACGTCAAACTCCCCTTTCTCCCCCAAAAACCTAAAATAACAGCCACCTCTCTGCCTGTCCACCTTGCACGCCGCGTGGACGAATCCCCTCACTAACACACACCACCAGCAACGCAACAACAGGCCAATACATCTGCTCCCGCCCCAACTCAGCCTTCTGCGCAGGCGACTCCTTTGGCACAGACATTATCATCCGCTGCGACGCAAACGGCCGCGGCCAACCGGGCCGCTGCACAGACAACCTCGCCGGCCAGTTCCCCCTCGGCGTCAACCCTTCCCTGTGCTGGATGTCCCAGCCCTACTCGGGCGACGCCGCCTGCGAGAAGAACTGCGTCGTCTACGCCTCGCCCAGCCCGTTTCAGCTCCCGCCCAGCGTCTGCACCCCCTATGCCTCCGGCACCGGCACCGGCACCGGATATGTCCCGAGACCCACGTACCCCATCGGGCCCCCGCCCCGACATACCAACGGCACGAGCACCTTCGGCCCATCGTCTTCGGCGGTCAGACCCACTGGAACCGGTGGCAGTGGTCCCGCTCCATCGGGCAACGGTACTGCTCCGACCAGCCGCAGCGGTGGTGGTGGTGGCAGCCGCCCCGGTAGCCCTACCACCACCCCTGGCAGCAGCCCCTCGGGCACACGGACCCCGATCCCGCCCTCGGGCACCATCACGAACCCTTCGTCCGTGCCCACCGGCGCCGCCGCCGTACAGAACTCCGTCGGCTCCCTCGTTGTTGCTGGCATCATCGCCGCCTACTTTATCTAGAACGTCCTCCCTACTCGACTGACACCATCCTTCTCCAGGCGAGAGATATCAAGGTGTCCAACAATACGATCATTTCCCCCCTTTTTCTTTTCATAGCAATTCATACCCCCGTCCATCTTTGGGCCGTGAAGAAAGGCCCGAATCTTGCATATCTACTTTAATAATACCAAACAGCAATCGCATCATTCGCGATGGGGCGGTTTTTTAGAGCCCACTCGAGGCTTTTTACACTTACACGGCGCAAGGAGTTAGTCTTTATTTTTTTTTATTTTTTTTTCCATCGTGGGTTTGCATCTCATGAGCCTGGAATATATACTGAATCAGGACCGGATGAGAGCCAACACCGGCCCGCATGGTATTAGACTTACACGGTGGCATGAGGAACATTTTGAACTTTCCCATTTTTCGGGGGAAAAGCGAGTGCATAGTCTGACGGCCCTGGAGGCGCAGATAGATCCGATCATTTACATCACATTTGCATCACATTCTTCTCTCTTGTCGGTTGTTGGAAGTTTACCCATGGACAGAAAAGTGACAAGACGAGTATGTTGTTTCATTATGTGCTCTCTTCAATGTGTGCTGGAACATGTCCCCTGATCTCGAGTCTTCTGGAACCCTCTCATGTTCATCGTTACCAAGACCTTCATAGGTGCTCGCACCCGTTCCCTGACTGTCGTATTTCCGTTCCTCGTTTTCCCTGCTCTCAGGTGAATCCTTCCATGGTGCCTCCAGAATTCCAGTCTATAAAACGCCACCCAATGCATGATGATGTAATTTAAAACAACGCAACGATAAATGGGATGGCCACGACAGCCAACGATGCCGCAACCCTCGGGGCCCCCGAACCAGGGAAATGCTTCTGGATTTCACCAGTGCGCGTCGGTGAAATACTCGAGCAGCTCGCGGTACCGCACTCGTACCCGCTAGGGCAGCAACCGGGGACAGGACCGCCCTCGTCGCCGCACAAGAACCAGCCGTTGGCGCAGGTCTCCGTCGCCTGGGGCTCCGGCACGTCGGTGACGGGAACGACGACGGTGACGCCGTTGCTGATAATGGTGGTCGATGCCGTAGGCGGGCACGAAGTGGTGGCGCAGTCACGGCCAGTCTGGCAGCAGCCTCCGCCAGCACGGGCGAGACAGGCATAAAATCCGGTCGGGCAGTACGATGGTGTGATCGGCGGCTCGTTCGAGTCGGTGGACGTGGGCCGGAAAGGAGGCACCGCGGTACCCGTGGTAGTCGTTGTAGGTCCCGGAGCCGTTGCTGAGGGCTCCTCGGGGTTTGCGGTGCTGGTCGTGGTTCTTCTCGTGGACGCCCCCCCGGGAGTCACCGTCACGACCACCGTCACATGTACGGTCGTGGTTCTCCCGTCTACGAGTGTTGTTGTCGAGACGGATGTCGTGGTGATCGTCTGCACGACTGTCGTGCCTGCTCCTCCACCGCCGCCACCTCCTCCTCCTCCTCCTCCTCCACTTCCGCCAGTGCCTGTGGGCGTCTGAGTCGGTGTCGGAGGAGGGCTTGGCACGCCTTAGTCTTGTCAGCTTGTTACCAGATAGTTGATGGTCCATGCCGACTTACAGCCAACACCTTGACAGATGTATCCTGGAATGCAACATCCACCGCTCATTTCGGCATCACAGCTTGTAGTGCCGCTGGGACACGCCGCAACAGCTCCACTGCAGGCGGCGCCCTTTGGACAGCAGGCGACGTTCCCAACGTGCTCATCGACGACCTTCACGCACACCTCGTTGCTCAGGCAGCACTTGTTCGGCGCCCCGATGTAATCGCAGCTGTTCATACTCGTCGGACAGGATTGCCTTTTCTCAAGAATGTGAAGGGCCTCTATGGCGCGCCTCAGGTTCTCCCAGCCCAGGCTAGCGCTGTCATGGTGTTCCGCAAAGGGCGGTCGATAAGGAAATGAGGCATTATACAGGAACGGGTCATCAGCCATGCGGGCGGCGAGAAGCTCTTCGCGGGGCGAGAGCGGAGTGGTGAAGACGTCATTGTCCGTGAAGGCGAGGTCATCGGGCAGGAGCTTCTCCCCGGCGTTTGGTGCCATTTTGCGGATGGCCACAGGATGCTCTGCGTTGATACATGCTGCGGTGAGAAGTAAGAGCGAGGAAGGGAGACGGAGAAGCAAATGAGACCGCATTGCGTCGAGTTCGAGATAGAGCCTTGGTGCCAATTGCAGAATGTCCTGCAGCTGACGACGATGGTGTTGAGGTCGGGTTAAAGTGGTCGACCGCCAAGCTCTGTGTGTATTAGTGGGCGCCGGGTCGCAGCTGTCAGTCTAGCTCACTGACGACGATCTCGTCAACGTCAATCAGAGATTTGATGTGGAATATCAATCTGCAAAGGGAAGGGCCCGTCGCTCGCATTGATGTAGAAAATTAGAAAGGGGGTAAAAAAAGTTCTGGTCGGGCATTTAGTGAGGCGTGGAAGGCGCGCGGAAATCGGTGGCTGGGCGAAGCTGCACAGCTCACTCTCACACTCCACGTCGAGAATCCAGATCCCAGCTGCAAGACGATGGAGCTCGGGCTTCGATACAGGCTGCGACACCTCACCGCCCTCGTATCTGACCGCTGTCAACTTTTTGTCTGTGGCCCGCAGCAAGTACACGTCAAACCCGAGATCCGATCACCCCAATAATGTGTATGTCATGTTTGTCGAGGGGTTTCCCCTTTTCCTTTCCTGTCTCGTCGATTTGTTTATCTGGGTTTGTTTTTATCAACAAGTCGGCGGCAGCGGGGTGGCTCTAGCTCTGTGTACGTACCCGGGCTACGGATTCGTTAGGGGGCTGGGCCTGGTTGACAGATGGCGAAAAAACGTCATTCAAGGCCGTTTTGCTGACAAGCTTTGGTGACAGGGGCGGGAGAGACACGGGCCTAGACGTTGTCAGGGGTTTGACTGTAAGGTTTGCAGGGGTCAACGGGACGGGAAGCCTGGGCCCGGGCCACCACGAAGACACCGTACACAGCATATGAAAGTAAGCTCGTGCATCACATTCTTTTTAGGTAGTTCATTTCGCAACAGGAGTTCAGTCTATCAAGAAGTGGTTTCGCGTTGGGGGACCAAGATCGCTTCATGTCTAGTCAAGTATTCTTGATATACATTTACAGGTATTTGTACAAAATGTTACATGATCGTACCTTATGTTGATACATTTCTTTCCAACATGGCAGACCTTTTTAAAACATGCTTTCGCCGGCATCTGCCCTGTGAGCTTCTTTCTGCAGCCTCTCTGTAAGACTGCTGGGCTGCTGCGTGCCTCTGAGGAATGAGTTGCAGAGTAGCGCCGTGGCTACGCTGACATTCAAGCTGTCGACCGAGCTTGACGTCGCCATTCGTGGTATTGTTATTTCGTGGGTGGTCTTTTTCCTGATATCATACGGGAGACCGGTGCCCTCGTTTCCAAGAACAAGAATGGAAGGCTCCGAAAGGAGAGGCTTCGCCTCCTCGATGCGTTCTGGTGTCCACTGGCGATTGTCTCTACGCAACCCAGGCGTCGGTGCGACTGCGGCATACGAGGTCCATCCTGCGGTCGAGCATGCGTGAAGAAAAGCTCCTGGGTCCTCTACGGAGAACAGCTTCAACTCCTCAGAAGCGCCTGCTGAGGCCTTCAAGACGGTAGATGTGATTGATGACGATGTCCTCTTCGTAATAGCAACGGCGGAAACACCGAGGAACCGGGCTGTCCGGAGAATGGCACCAAGGTTGCCAGGGTCCAGAATCTCGGTCAGAAGAAGCACAAGCGGCCGGGCGGTACCGGGCTTGTAAGGAATGAGACCCTCGGTTCCGTTGATCTCGATGTCCTCCTTGGACTGGCGCGCCACGAAGACGGGGTAGCCCTGAGGCTCGCTGTGTTCTGCGCCGAGACCTGTGATTGGCAACTGAGGCAGCGGCGATGTCTCCATCACGATGCCGTTGTGAGGTCGACCCTTGCTCATTTTATCAAGCAACTGCTGGCCATTTTCATATAGCTTAGTGACCTTGACCTTCTTCTTTTCCGCCATGGACAAGATCCAGTTGTCGTCCTTGGTTTCCTTCTTGTTGCTTCCCTGGTAGAGGTAGAGGTGGTAGAGTTTGCGTTGCGAATTCTTCAGTGCTGCCTTGACGACCGAACGACCAAAGAGAAATTGTGATGCCGCAGTCGTATACTGAACCATGCCACGAGATTCTGACGTTGTGGCGGATGCTTCATGTTCTGATTCTCTTGATCCAAACCGCCGAGGAGACACACCCTCGAGTTCTCTACGGGCACCCTCCCGCATGGAGTTCATACGCTCTCGCATAAAACCTGGCCTCCGCTCTGATTGATCATCTCGGCGGTTCGGACGGCGGTTTACGAACTGGTCGTGTTGACGATCCGGGCGGCGATCCTGGAATCGGTCGCTTTGACGACCTAGACGGCGATCCTGGTCTTGGTCGCGCTGGCGGCCGCCTTGGCGATCCTTGAAGTGGTCATTGTTGAAGTGGTCATCTTGACGGTCACGCTGGGCAGGTGACTTGTAAGACTCTTCCTCTTTTGGACCATTCTTCTCCAGTAGTTTGCCAACCTTATCCTTCAACTCGCCACGGTTGAGTTGGTAAACCAGGCTCTTCTTTCCAAACGAGAACTCGGGGTTGTTGAACCTCTTGCTCCGGGATTTTCTCCCTCCCTCTTCTTCTTGCTCTTTTATTCTCTCTTGCATCTTCTGGAAGGCCTTCTTGGGCTTGTAATGACGCGGTTCGCGGTCTCGAGGGCCATCTCGACGATTGCCAATAGCGCGAGAGAATCGATCGCTGAAAGCGTCGGGCTTAGATTCGGTTGCATCTCTCGGTCGGCTGCGACCTCGAGACTCTGTCAATCGCGACCTGGAGGCAGGCCTAGAAGGTCTAGAAGTAGGCCTGGAGGCGCGGTCGGTACGGTCGTTGCGTGGCGCCTTGTCAGAACGCCAAATGCCGCGATGTATCGCAGAAAGCGACCCATTGCGCACTTGGGCGTAGAGAAACGGGTTACCGGGGAAATGGACAACTCTTTGGGCTTTTGTTAAGGGGCGTGAAGCGCTCCATCTGGTAAGGAGACTCATTGCATTTCGTACAATAATGGGCCCCGATGATGATGATGGTGGTGGTGATCTTGTCGTTGTCGACGTTGTTATTTCGCTGCATCATGTCGAGCAACGCACGAGTGGGTTTGCACTTGACCGGGACTCGTCTCCGAGGAACTTTTTTTTTCTGCCACTTCAGAGCTGGGCAGGGTCTGGGCGGTGAGGGTAACTCGAAGGATAGACCGGGGCTTCCATTGGTCATGGGAGGCGATCTAGTGGGCCTTTCCAGCAGTCTCCACACACGAACAGGAACGTACCTCCCACATGCATGCTATCTCCCCAGTTCGGAACTGAGTTTAATTGATGCATCGTTAGCAACGCGGTTTCGAGGTTCATCGCGTCAACCGTCGGGTAATTAATCCCACCACCACGTTTTGACAAGCAGCAATCCGCAACTTGCGCCCTGCCCATCCCTCGACTGTCTGCCTTGAGCAGCAAAATGGACAATAATTGATTAGTCACAAACTTTTTTCTTTTTCTGTTTCTTGGTTGTTCTCGTTATCCGGATTGCTATTACTCCGGAACCTACCTACTCGTGACATCCCACCAACCCCCGACACACCCGCAAATGCGACAGAGGCACAACTTGTCGCATCATGGACGACATACCCACCGGTCCTGACGACCATAATATCATGTCTTTGGCGGGCTCCCCGAGTGATGCCCTGTCTGGATTGGACACTGCCGACTTTGATCCGGCCCCTTCCCACGAGACCGATCCTCATGCCGACGAGACTGAGGCAAAAGAGACGGTTGCCAACAAGAGCGAGAATTTCCTCAACGACAGTACGATTGACGCAGACACGCCGGACGTCGAGGGAGGCAGTATTTCTATTGAAGTAGCCATAGAAGACGAAATTCCCGAGCTCGCAACTGAGGAGACCACAGAAACCTTCCCACGGATCGATATTGGCGCCGACGAACACATTGCTTCTATTGAGACGGATGACACACGAGAGAACGAGGCAACAATCACGAATGACCGAGTCGTTGTCTCCTCAAGTATCGGGCCAGAAGATGATGAAGCAGACGTGATATCGGGGGTTTTCTCGACATTGCGCCCGCTGAACTTCGAGATTATCCTACCGCACATATCACATGAAGACCGCGTCAAGTATCTCTCAATAAAGAGCGATGTCGTAGACAAGATCATCGAAAAGGTTCCTAATTCTGAAGGTGACCTGCGGTACATAATAGAGTTCACGGATGGAAGACAGGAGACAGTAAGTTTCCTTCCATCTGCATTTATGGCATTTCCTTCTCTCCCCCAGATTAAGACCCTTGGAGCCTGCCCCCCCCCTCTCCTTCCTTTCTGGGGTTGAGCGAAGTCGCTCTTGCCTGCGAAGTGGCCGCCAAATCCCCCTCCTCACTGCCACTGCCACTTCGTGTATATATATATATATATCAACCTCTTGACTTCAAGGCTCATACAACCTGATCCTCCTCACCCACACATCAAGCTTCACTTCGAGAGTCTTGTAGGCGGTCTTGAGTATAAGAGCCTCAAACTCCCGACGTCAATCTCTTCAACTCTAAATGAAATCATCGTTCTCCCTTCCAATCTTTTCAAATTTCTCTTCCATCACCATTTCACGCTCGACGCAAGATTCTCCTGTTCAGCACAATTTGAACCCGCGCCTTCCTAAGAACCTCACTAACTAGCTTAAGATACCCTTCGACGAATTGCTCGGGTACGAAAGAGGTCAACTCGCTCTTCAGAAATATCAAGGCATCATGGACCCAGAGAACGGAGCGAACGACAGACTCTGGCAAGACGAGTGGGAAGAGTCGATTGCCGACTCTGACGCCGATCTCGATCTCATGGAACTTGATGAAGACGATGCTCCCCGTCAATCCAAACGTCTACGCAGCTCGGCGCACCGCAAGACCCTCGAGGGCTCCGATTCCGATGACGACGCTGCTTCTCGTCGCCCCAAACGCCAGCGTACCTCCACGAGGCAAAGCACGAGACATAACTCGAAAGCGATCTCGGACGACGAAGCCCTGGACGAAACTCCCCCGCGAGGTCGCCAGCTGAGGGAGCGAACTGAGAGACAGCTCAAGTTGACAAGCATGGCCTTCACCAGCATGCCCTTGACTCGAGACGAAGATTTAGATGAGTTATCTCAGGACCATCCCCGCCACCCATCCGACAATGATGATGACTTTCAAATCATCACATCCGACGTCCTTCCCAAGTCCTACTCATCTCGGCGCAGCAAGAAATCATGGCGTCTAAGAGCTAAGGCCAAGATCACCGAGCAACCCAGATCTCGTGGTTCCTCAATTGAGTTTGAGGACCGTCGTCGTTCTGGCAGATCCACAAGGAACAAGGGCAGTATGCTTGATGTTGCTTTGATGGATGATGATTCTTTCTACGTTGAAGACACGGCACCCGCCGGCGCCCCCAAGGTCATGAATATCAAGGAAGTCTTCAAGCACATTGACCAACACGCGCCATTCACCCAATATCATTCGGACATCTGCAGCACTTGCAATACTGGCACTTCCGCCAACAAAGGTCCTCTGATCGGTTGTCAAGGCTGTTCCATAACATTCCACAAAAGCTGTATCGGCTACAGATCTGCCAGAGACCATATTGTCACCAAGGTTGGTGTCGATGATTTTGTTCTCCAGTGCAAGTTCTGTATTGGAATCTACGCCAAGAAGGACAAGAATAGCCCAAGACACAGTCGGTGCCAACAATGCAAGCGCTTCGGACGATCCTGCGCTGCATTTTCGCAGAAGAAAACTCCCAGACAAGAAGAGAAGATTCGTCTTGAGAATGGAGGCGAAGACCCTATTGCGCCAGTGGAACCATCTCTGGTCAACAATGCCGACAATATCCTTTTCCGCTGTACTATGTGCAAGCGTGGCTGGCACTATGAGCATTTGCCATCATCGCAAATGGACTCAGACGTGTCCGAGATTCGCCAGCAGCGCCTTGCTGAATACTCTGTTGACTGGAAGTGTGTCGACTGTGGCACGGTATCCGACAAGATACAGACGTTGGTTGCCTGGCGGCCCCTGGAGAAAGCCTCACTCGGATCTGGGAAGACTTACAGCGACTTGAACGAGGATGAGAAGGAGTATCTCATCAAGTGGCAGGACAAGTCGTACTTCCATTGCAGCTGGATGCCGGGCGCATGGGTCTTTCACATTGCCGCAGGTACGATGCGCAACTCCTTTGCGAAAAAAGATGCGGATCAGAACTTGGCCTTGAAGTTCAATGAAGCCGAGGCAATTCCCCAAGATGCTCTCATGGCTGATGTCATTTTCGAGGCCAAGGTGAAAGCAGGAAGAGCAAAAACACTGGAAGATGAAATGGAGCGCATTGGGAGCGTCGATAAGATTTTCGTGAAATTCCAAGGCCTGGGCTATGACGAAGCGGTATGGGACTCGCCGCCAAAGCCAGATGCCGGCGAGGTTTACACGGCATTCAAGGCCGCTTACTACGAATACCTCACTGGCAAGTACTTCAACGGCTCCACGAACGCCAGAATGAAAGAGCGCGTGAACAAATGGAAGGACAAGGATTTCGTCAAGTTGACCCAGCAGCCCCCTGGTCTCCGCCGCGGCAAGCTTATGGAATACCAAATCGAGGGCGTCAACTGGATGTTATGGAACTACCATGGCGACAAGAATGCCATTCTTGCCGACGAGATGGGACTAGGAAAGACGGTGCAAGTTGTCGGCTTGATCTCGACCCTGGTCCATGGCGAACCAAAGGTAAGGGATCCACGCTGCTCACGAAGAGGCTCTGGTTTGCTGACATTCGTAGTGCTGGCCTTTTCTTATTGTCGTCCCGAATTCGACTTGTCCAAACTGGCGTCGCGAAATCAAACAGTGGGCCCCAGACCTTCGAGTGGTCACTTACCACGGCGGCAAGCAAGCACAAGAGTTGGCGTACAAATACGAGCTCTTCCCCCGTGGATCTCAAGATATCAAAGCCCACGTTGTTGTCATGTCATACGACTCTGCGCAAGACGATCGCACGAAACATCTCTTCCGTTCAGTTCAATGGGCTGGTCTAGTTGTTGATGAGGGACAGCGGTTGAAGAACGACAAGAGTCTCTTGTACACAGCTCTACGTTCCATGCGATTTCCCTTCCGACTCCTCCTCACGGGCACACCACTCCAGAATAACAAGCGAGAGCTTTTCAACTTGCTTCAATTCATTGACCCAACCCAGAACGCTGCGAAACTCGATGAAGAATTCCAGGAGTTGAATGGGCAGAACCTTCCTGAACTCCACGGTCGGATCAAGCAGTATTTCCTACGAAGGACAAAAGCTCAGGTTCTGAAATTTTTGCCGCCAATGGCGCAAATCATCGTTCCCGTATCTATGTCGATTCTGCAAGAGAAGCTTTGCAAGTCGATTATCGCGAAGAGTCCCGATCTGATCAAGGCAATTTTTGCAGACGACAAAATCAACAAGAGAGACCGTGGCAGTTTGAGCAACATACTCATGCAGCTGCGGAAATGTCTCTGTCATCCGTTCATGTACAACGAGGCAGTCGAAGAGCGAACAGTAGACCAGATCAAGCTACACGAGAATCTTATTTCGGCGTCAGGAAAGTTGATGCTGTTGAACATCATGCTGCCGAAGCTGAAAGAAAGGGGACACAGGGTTCTCATCTTCAGCCAGTTCTTGAACCAGCTGGATATCATTGAAGATTTCCTGAATGGTCTTGGCTTCCAATATCGACGACTTGACGGTAGCCTCAGCAGTCGAGAAAAGCAGAAGTACATCGACGACTACAACGAACCGGACTCTCCGGTTTTTGCCTTTCTTCTCTCAACAAGGGCCGGAGGTGTAGGAATCAACCTCGCGACTGCTGACACTGTCATAATCTTGGACCCTGACTTCAATCCTCACCAAGACATCCAGGCCATTTCCCGCGCTCATCGCATCGGCCAGAAGCACAAGGTGCTATGCTTTCAACTGATGACCAAAAATTCAGCAGAGGAAAAGATCATGCAAATTGGTCGCAAGAAGATGGCTCTTGACCATGTTTTGATTGAGGCAATGGACGATCCAGGAGAGTCTGAAGACCTAGAATCAATCCTGAAATTTGGTGCTTCCGCTTTATTCAGCGACGATCAGAACGAAAAGGACATCGTCCACTACGATGATGCAAGCGTCGACAAGCTCCTTGACCGTTCGACTATTGAACAGACAAAGACTGGTGATGACAACTCTGCCGAGTCACAATTCTCTTTTGCGCGTGTCTGGGCCAATGACAAAAACGGCTTCGAAGACAACCTTGCTGAAGAAAACGAGCCCACAGTCAACGCAAACGTTTGGGAGGAGATCTTGGCAGAGCGAGAGGCTGAAGCCAAACGCATTGCCGAGTTGAATAAGGAAGTTCTTGGTCGAGGCGGTCGGCGCCGTCAGGTAAAGAAACAACGCTATATCTTTTGTTTCGTCATATGTTCTAACAGATTCGTCTCAGGCAATCAACTACAAGACTAATGCAATCGGCGTGGTCACTGACCTCCTCATCGACAACAGCGACAGCTCCGATAATGACGGAGAATTTGTTGGCGAGAACGATGAGGAGGAACCTGATACTGACACAGAGAATAGGGATGACAGTTCCAAAGGTAAAGCTAGACTTTCGGCTTCTCGTCCAACCAAGAAAACTACCAGTGGCGTGAAGAGAAAGCAAGTTGACACATCCACACCACAGAAGAAACGACAACGCAAGACTCCCACGACCGACGCCGTACCAGTCAGAAAGCCCAAAACAACAACTCCACGCAAGCCAAGACAGGCACCTCTAAAACGAAAACCCAAAGCGTCGCGGAAGCTAACACTGGCCAAGGCGCCCTCCACGAGTGGAAGCTCAATCCGAGCTGGTCCAGCCAAAATCACAAAACTCCAGACCACGAATCAATCCAACAAATCGGACGACCCAACCACGTCAACCCCCTCTATCCACCTTCTCAGCCCATCATTAACCCCATCTATCACCAGCCCGGAGCGCAGTTCTACCAGCACGCCCCTCCCGCCCCGGAAAGTCGTCCCGGTCGACCCCTGATGTATGACATGGCCTGGCTTGACAACCTAAGAATAGTGCGAACGGGTTATGGCGGTGAGGTGCCTTCAAATCAGCAGGCTCGTCCTGGGTTCCAGCAGCAACAACAGTCTGCGCCTCCCATACGTCAAGCAGCATATGCCAACCCTACTGTGCCAGCCGTGCCGGAAAAGGCACGCAGACCGTCATTCGGTTTGTCCCAGTTGCATCCTAATGCATCTACTTGCGCGAAATGCGGCCTGCGGCATTACACAGGCCAGTGCCCAAATCTTGCCTCAGAAGTCCAATTACGCCTGGCCCTCGATCATTTGAGGCATTGGCCATCAAACTCTAGAAACCCTGCTGCGGAACGAAAACTAATTGAGAAGCTACACTTGGTAGCCACGACGAACGATCGTCGAAAGAAATGAAGCTTTCGATTTTTGCTCTGGAAAGCTCATGGCGATACAGGTCCTTAGAAACCAAAGTTTCTCGAAGGAGACGTCTATCCGACGGCAGATTTATTCTTTCACCGGTTTGGATCGTCAGTATTGACGCACTTGCACTTACAGCATTTGGCTTGTGTGGAACTGCAGATAGACAGGTATACCAATCTGACGTTTCGCTAAGACTTTGCTTCCGAGGCGAACCTCATGATTTGCTCTGTTAGACTTGTTCAACCGTTGAAGGCAGCTGTTTGTCACGTGCTGAGGTACAAACCAGGACTGCAGCTAACCGGCTGATTGCGGCGGATCTTATTTCGGTCGAGCAAACGACGATGGCAACGGACATTTCGCGACTTTCTCAGGCTTTTGTTGTGACTTCTAGACCATTCGCGTCCAAGGCATCGGAGTCTCATGTCTGAGTCTTTGGCGCCTTGGTCCGGAATTTCCAGCTGTCCTGCACGTGGTGGACGACATCAAAGTCGCCTTTGAGGGGTTTGAAAAGAGCGTCTCGACGCGTTAGAGCTGATCCTCTCCTGGTTCTCTCGGTCGACGGCATTATAAGGTAAACATTGTAGAAAGTTCTGACCTCCTTCCCCGTTTGCAAGGCGGTCCGAATCCTCCATATCATATCCCGTGCCCTAGTCTGGCCCTTCTACAACTTTTTCTGAGCAACTCTACACAAATCCTGCTTCTAATTCGTCTACTTCTCCATTCCTTCCTTCCTCCCTTCCTTCCTTCTTCTCGCTCTTGCAACATGGAATCGAGCCTTACCCGTTCCGCTTCCGAATACTCATACTCGCCACAGGGCTCCCGAGGCTCTACTCGCAATACAACGCCTGAATTTGAGGCTTCCACAGTACTAAACGGTATCACGAACTTGCAGATGAGCGACAGAAAGATGGACACCTCCCGTGTCGTCTTCTTCGATTCCCAGAACCCACCTCAGACGTTTTGCCCTCCGGACTATCCTCATTCTGGGCAGGCCTCGATGAGACACAACCTCGCGAACGCTCCCCGCAGTGTCGATGCCCCGAACTGGCGTATGGGCATGGGTATGGGAGGCGGTCAAGGTCATAGGCACTTCAACTCGCTCAGCTCGTCGGCCAGCGGCACCGAATACATGGTCAAGGGATCGCCAATGCAGGAACGTCAGGCTGCAGGCATGGGAAGAAACACCAACATAGATACTTCGGGCTTTTATGGCTACTGCTTGGCTCGTGGAAATGGCAACTACACCAGGTTGATTCCTGCTGACACGCTTCCACCTTTGATGGGTATACCAGCTATCCAGAACGATGCTGAAGGTTTTCTTGTCCTCCCGTCGCCTCGAGGCGTGGACCCTCAGAGCTTGGCTGGCAGCTCCGTCCAGCCTGTTGTCTTTAGAGTATGTGTGCTTCCTTCTTCTCTTTTCCTCGCTTTTCAGGCACCAGAATATTGGCGCTGAACCTTTCAGTCACCTCCGCCATCACCGGCACCGGTATCTGATGCCCTTCAGGTATGCTCACATGTTTCTTTGAAGCGTTTCCCCTTCGCACCATTTTTTATCAATATCCCATGACTTACCTGGTTTGCTAACGATTGCCTTGTGAATTGATAGCGGAGAATCGATCATATTGTAGCCTCCTCCCCTAACTCACCAAAGAAGCCCAAGATCTACTGTGACAAGTGGGTTCACGAGGGTGTCTGTGCCTTCACACAACAAGGTTGCAAGTACAAGCATGAGATGCCACTCGATAAAGCAACGCAGCACTCACTTGGTCTGTTCCATGGGCTGCCGGCATGGTGGAAGAAGCAGCAGACTGAACTCCGACAACAGCAGCAGCAGCCTCAGCAGCATCAGGGCAACGGAGCCGAGGCCTACTTTGATCCTCTTCAGCAATCTCAAAGTGGCTTGAAAATATCACCTGTGATACGTGACAGGGGTCTTGCTGGCTCGACGAGAGCGTCGCAGTCGTGGCGAAGAGGCGAGGGTATCGGGGCTCAGGGACAGATGGGCGCAGGATCTCTGGCCAGACCCAGTGTAGCATACAGGAACTCGCCTGGTGAGATTTTGTGAACCATCCCTCTGCTGAGTCAAACCTGATATGGGTGATAGGACCGGGATCTACCTACCAGCAGAACTTGGACTCGCCTACCTCATCTTGTGTCTGGGGCCCGATCGGTCCACCTTCGAAGCAGACATCCGATCAGAGTCAGATATATCACCAGAACCTAGGTGGCTTTGCTAGTTTCAACAACTTTACTCTGCTGAGCTCTCTCGACGGGAACACGGGTGAGACGGATGATGGCCGCAAGTACGAGACCTACTAGAGTTTGGGTTGGCATCGACTTGTTGGATCAGATACTACAAGGTTGGGAATGATGAAGTACGAGGCATGACAGATTTGGGGATATTTTTAATACATCGCTTTTGTTTTTTTATGGTTCGAAAGAATGTATGTATTATAGAAGACACGGACCAACAATAAGGAGACGCAGCAAAATTACCAGCCGAATGTCTCCTTACAAGAACTTGGCCCTTTTTCATACGCTGCTGTTGGCTGTCACCTGCCGCAGCTAGTTATAGCCACGTCAGGCTCCAAGTCTCCTTACCGGCGCGGAACGGCACGACCTGGATACCCTTGTCCTCAAAGGTCTGCTCGACGACAGCGCCGCCGCGGGTGAGGCGGATGCGTTCCTTTCTGGTGTCCTCGGTGCCGTAGAACTTGCGACCGTAGCCGCTGACGAAGCCCTCGAGAGCCTCCTGTGTGATGTCTGCGTCCGTGAGCTCGCCGCGGGCGACGGCCTCGTCGAGGGCCGCGAGGAGGTACTGGACGGCGTAAGGTTGTGTGAAGACGCCGGCGGCGGCCTTGGAGGGGCCGGTCTTCGCGGTGATTGGGTGCGGGGCGGAGTCGGTACCGAGGAAAAACCTGCCATTGCCGTTGACCACGGCGTTGAGGAGGGCTTTGCGGTCGGCGGGGAGCTGGGGGTTTGTTAATCTTCGCTTTTCTTGGCGCCGTGCGTGTAGTTCAATGAGCTGCTGGGAAACTTGCCTTGGCGACGGGCTTGCAGAAGTTGAGCTACATTTTGATATTAGTCTCCGGATATTAGGGGGTTAGGGATCTGTCAGGTCATACTGCGTCACCGACAACATCGTCGATGGTGATGAAGAGGTGGTGGCTATTGCTATGATCAGTTCTGGGCTCCCCTGAGTCCAGATCGGGGCACATACCAGGTAATGGTGCCGGCAACATTGGGGCCGCTAGCTTCCAGTCAGTCAAGCTACGACTGTTCAACAGTATCCTCACTCACCATGACTTGACGGCCGCAACAGCCTCAGCGGTTGTGCAGTGCTCAAGAACTGCAAAATTTGTCAATGAAATCTCGGTTCATGAAAAAGGGTTACAGTAATTACTGATTCTGAGCTTGGGATATTTAGCGTGAAGAGCCTTCAGCGTGGGAAGGAACTGGAGCAAGAATGTCAGCAGATGGCGCCCAGTAGTATTTTCATCTGCGGGTGTCATTCACCTTGGACTCGGCATTGAGCGTGGTGATATCGCTGCCGGCGTGGGATGGGCACTCTCCGTGGAGGCAGAGAAGCAAGTCGACCTCCTCCATGGCCTTGAAGACTTCGTGGAAGGCATCGTAGTCGACGACGCCATCGGCACTGTTTGTGGTGACGCCGGCAGGATAACTGTAACCTTTTTGTCAGCGACAACCGAAGGTTGGTGATCGGAGCTCAGTGGACACGAAAATACCTCTTGACTGCAGCAACACCGGCCTTCTTGGCCTCTCTGATGGTATCGGGCGTAACGTCCTGGTGGAGGTAGAGGGTCATGAGCAGGTCCACCTCGTCCTTGGCCAGAGCCTCCTTGATGCGCGATGAGTAGTCCAAGGCCCGCTTGACGCTTGTAACCAGGTTGTTTTGCAGGTTGGGCATGATCAATGCCTTTGTCGCGCGACATAGCGCCTTGTGTCAGTGATTGGCTACTTTGATGATGGTCTTGGCGGCCGTACCTGGTTGACTCCTCCGGGGCGAACAGTCGGGGCGACGATCTGCAATGGTCAGTCAACTTTCCTGTCTGCTTTTCCAGCTTTGTTCAAGTTTCACGGCCGCATACCTTGAGCATATCATCATCGCGCAAGTGGACGTGGGCGTCAAAGGCCGCGGGCAACTCGACGGTATCAGGGAGAGGCATCTTGGACGGGAATGAAGTGGAACCGTCTCAGTATGGAATAGCAGCAGAATTAGGTGTCACGTCCTCTGTGACTTATTAGACGCCATTGCTTCCTGCATTACGGTTTTGCACTCATACCAGATACTTTCTATTCAAAGAAGTGGCGTAATATTGAATTTTGGCCGATGTCGCTGAGCAGTTGATTCAGGTCGTCAATCCTGTCTCGAAATGTTTTTTCGCTGGAGTTCATGGTGGGGGCGGGGTAACTGACTAGGTTCCCCAAGGACTCGAAACTACCTCGAACGAAACCACACAAAACTGGTTGGTGGTTGGCAAATCCATTTGAACTGAGGCGATCAATTTCACTGCGATGAGAATCAGAACTGCCATTCTATCCTACAATTATTTGTTTCAATTTAATTGCGAGAAGAAGAAAGAAAGGAGCTAGTGCAACTCAGTATCAGAGCCGCGGAGTAAAAGTTGCATAGTCAATAGGAGCACCATGCAACTACCTGTCTCCCTCATCTACCGCCATAGCTACATACAAAAAGTCGAATCACTTACCTATTGGCATATCCTGCAAGATTTAGCTGTCTGCCATTTCAGTTCCATGAAACAGTTGGTTATTTGATCTAGTTGCCTCCCTTCTTTGTTTGATTCTTGATTATTGCCCTTGGATCAGATCTGAAAATCTTCTTGAAGATGGGGATTTCTCGTACCCGGAGTAACAGAGAGTGGTAGGTGGGTGCATTTGTGCTCTCAACGTTACTCCGGCCCATGACCTTATTGGGATGGAGGGGTAATTCTCTGTACTGCCCCACCAGCGGGCCAACCATTAGGTATTTGGGTTTCACCTTCCTTCACCTGTCTAACGGCGGGCGCAAGTTGGTAATATGTATAGCCGAAGATTAAACGACTTGAACTTCCTGGCTGCACATGGCAGTGGGCACAGACCAACAACCCCCACAATGGATCAGTGGTACAACCTAGGCATGCTGGTACCTGGGCACGTTAGGTAGGCTTAAGCTTCATCATCATCAAGAAGCCTTGAGCTCAGGACCACGCCGAGTTGTGACCTGGTTTTGCGACCTTTTCTCAACCTCCCCAACACATCAAACCTTCCCACATTCCACACCTCGTCGAATTTAAATAGCGTCGACCCAAGCCCAAGCTTCGCATTCAAGTTTCCACGACTGTTGCTGCTGCTGTCACAACCAACGGAGCTAAAGCTCGTCGCTTTTTGGTCCGGCTAGGCGCCCGAATCGCCGGCAAGATGGAAGACGTTCTTCTCTACTTCGAGCGCGAGAAGTGCGAGACGGACGAGGTTTACGACAAGACTATCAAGAATCACATTACGAAGATTACTCGTCTATTCAAGGACCAGGCGCCGGCCGTCATAGCCAACGCGCCGCAACTGCTCGAGGTCTGTCGGTCCCCCCACCTTTGGTGGTTTGTTGCTGCTAACCGCTATACCACAGATCGTCCACCCGGCCGACCACTCCATCTCCCACCTTGCAATTCTGAACACCCTCAAGCATGTGGAGGAGAGCTCCCTGCCCCTTCCGATCGATGCCTTCCGAGAATACGTCGCTCGGTTCCTGCTGTCATTCGACGCCCGGCAGATACGCTACGTTGGTGACGTCTTCTCCGACCTGGTGAAGGATGTAGTGGAATGCAAATTCTTCCAGGTAAAGAATCTTCAAGGCCTGATTGATGATCTTGACTGATTGAATGATCCCTTGGCAGGCGCGCCAGTCCGTTGAGATCGCTGTTGCCGCATTGAGGCTGCTCGATCCCGAATCCGCCGTGCTCACGAGCCTCCACCTCGCTGTGGTCAAGCTAGCCTACGAGACTACGAATTACGACGAAGTGCTACCATTACTCGAGAAGCCATGGGTGTTTCTTCCTGGAATGAAGGATCAGTCTCGTCCAACCTACCTCTGCGATCTGACAGCCTCACCTCCCGCCTACATCAGCCCCACTACACATCTCACCGAATACTTGACCCGTGAGGGTGTTATGGAGCACGAGTACCTCAGTGCTCTGATTTTCACGAAGGAGCTCAGATGGGCGCAGGCGCACAAAGCCTACCAGAGAATCATCTCTTGGCCATCAAGAGAAACCTCTGTGAGCAAGTTGATGACTGACTCACATAAGCGCTGGGTTCTCACTGGTCTCTTGGCTCTCGGGTACACACCGCCTCTGCCGAGCCAAATCAGCTCAAGCGCTCAGAAGGCTTTCGCGGCTCTGTCGAAGCTCTATACGGATCTCGCGGGCCTCTTCTCAACTACCAACGTGGAACAGCTCAAAGGTGCGGTTGAGAAAGGCGTCGAGACGTGGGCTGCCGACGGAACTACTGAGCTAGTCAAGGCGGTCGTGACGGCGTACCAAAAGTGGCAAATTCTTGGTCTCGCCGATGTGTATCACAAGATTAGCGTGCCGGAAATCCGTCAACAGACGCTCAGCGCAGAGACAGCCCTGAACCTCGAGACTGACGAGGGGGTAGAGCAACTCCTGCAGGACATGGTGACCATCGGTATGCTTCAAGGATCGCTGGAGGTCAGCCCTGATGGCGTCAAATGCCTCACCTTCCTCCCGCGTGACACTGAAATTGAATACACCGAGTACCAAAAGAAGATCACCGACGACGCGCGTATCAAGACGTTAAACAAGTTCGCCGAGGTTAGCGATGCCCGTCTTGCAGCCTCAAAGGACTACGCCAAGCACATCATTCGTGAGCAAAAGCGCCAAGATAAGGATGGCCTTCAGTCACAAAACACAGAGTTCGGCTTCGACGCTTCCATTGAGGACGAGGATCTCATGACGGGTATCCAGCATCCTTAGAACAGTTTTCCCGGGTGGTCATCCTTCGGCAATGATCATCTGCCCATCGTTCGCGCCTCTTTCACGAAGTAACGAAGGCACGGGATAGGGACGGGAGCGAAACGAGTCTTTTCATGACGAAAGAGCGACACACGATGCTGCATAAGACTTAACCTCGGCATGGGTTGAGACAATCACTTGACTTGGGGGCATCAGGCCGGCGTTATGAGATCAGGTTCATAAGGGACATTGCTTTGGTTGCCAACAAGAGGCATTTGCGACATTATCAGAATTGCAAGAGCCCGAATTCTCGGGAATGACTGGTAGATTAGGTAGAGAACCAAGAAGAAAAAGGCAAATATGGCAATTTCTTCCGCCAGTACCACTTTCTCCTCAAAATATTGTTCGGTTGCCACTATGTGACCTGCGCTCTTTTGCCTCGTAGCTCGTCAAATTTTGAATCACCAACGTCTCTTCCTTCTAAGTAGGATTCTTCACGCGGATGCATAGGCTGTCTTTCCATCATAAAATACACATACATCAGTGCCCCCTTCCCAGCATATTTACGAGCTGATACCAAACTGCTTGATGAGATCCGCAAGCTTGGCTCCTTCGGCCTTGTAGTCGATTTGTCCGGCACTCAGGACCTGGTAGCGTACCCTGCAAGAAGTTAATACTTTGAAAACCAGCTGCGGTCAATGCGAGAGATCATACCTCTGAGCTTCGCCGAAGGTGTCCATCTTTGCACGGCATCGGAAGTTCAACTTGGTACAGTTCGCTTGCTCAAACGCCTGTGCCATCTTCGTGTCATCCTCCTCACGTAAAGCCATGAGATCGTCCGCCGACATGCCCATGATAACGCGGCCGACGTCATCAAAGCAGCTGAGCCACAGCTGGTTGGTGTGATCGCACACATTAATAGACATGATATAACGATACTCAGGCTTCGGGTGGGCAACATCGCACTTCTCGCAGCGCCAGGTGCCATCGCCCATGTCAGTCACCTTCTTGTTACAGCCCTCGTTGCTGCATGCGGGATACGCAAAGTTCTCCTGCTTGATGTAGACGATGGTGGCCTTGAGATTGAAGTAGTCTTGGTTCTCCATACCCAAGTTCTCCTCCTTCACCTGGATAATGGACTTGTCCTGGTCCTTGCGACCAGTAGCGTTGCCCATGCTGGCCATGTTGTTGTGACTGCTGAAGGTATCATTGCGACCAGACGAGTCATACCAGCCCTTCAGACGGTGGGCATCAGGAATATCGGGGTCAATGGACATTGTACCGGATGAAAGCAAGCTGAGACTGCGACCACCAAAGTCAGATACCTTAGTACCCTTGAAGGCCACCACGGACTCGGGTTTGGCGTCAAAGTTAGTAGCGCTCTTGCCCCAGATGGTGACGCGAACAGAGTAGTTGGTGTCATCGACCAGCGTGAGCTCCCGCTTCTCGTAAGGCTTGCCAGTTGATTTGGAGACGATTTGGGACACCTCAGCGACCTCCTTCAGGACGCCAATAACGTCAACAGTGGCATCCTTCTCGACTTCCTGGAGCTCTTGAATATTGCAGAAATTGAACCGCACCTGCGGCACACTGCTCTGATCCTCTGCCTTCTCAATTATTGTATCGCGCTCGAAAGTGAGCTCGTAGTCGTTCGGCAGGTTTGTGAATTGCTTCTTCGCAAGCTGAACTTTGCAAGGGTTAGAGATGTAGTAGACACCTCCCTCCTGGAGCAGATCGTAGTATTGGTCGCACTGGTCGTTGAAACCGGTTGCCTTGATCTCGCCACTTTCATCGAGCAGGTTGACACTGAACAACTTTCCCTCACCACTGGGTTTGTGCCATGTCCGAATGTCCGACTTTTGCGTGACGCGAGCCTTGATGGTCCACTTGTGAGCGTAGGGGGATAGGGCTTCGATAGGATATATGTTGTTGCTTCCGTGCTGGCCGGTTGCACCTCCAGCGGAGCGCGTGGGTATCGATTGAGGCTGGGGTTTGGGCTTTGTCTCCTCTTGCTTGACGCCGTAGAAGTTCTGTCCGCCGATGGTCGTGTTCGCTGCTGCGGGAGGCTTCGCCTCGAAGGCTTGGGGTTCGCCGAGCTTGTCTGGTGTGCCGAACTGCTCGATTACCTCGAGACCGAGGATAATCAGGATGCTAGTGAAGAGTTAGACCATTTCTCTCGAGAAACTTGGTCAGAAGAAGGCAAGGAACCACATACTTCTTCCCCTTCACAGAGTTCGCTTGGTACTGAGTAATGCGCACGATGCAATTTCTGACCAACTTGTTGTCGTGGACAACGTGGTTGACCTGTGTTGCCAGCATGCACTGAACATAGTTGCTCACATCACTGAGAACAATACGGTATCTCTCAGCGTTGCCTCCTGCTTGTGCGGCCAAAGGCTTGATCTGCAGGCATTGAAGTACGGGGACCGGGAATTTCGTGTTGGCACCTTCGGGGTCGTTGAAGATGGCGCTGCGGGTGCTCAGTCAGTGCGAAAAAAGGTTAGGTGGATAGACAATATTCAAGCACTCACTCCAAGGCACCTTTGGTAATCTTTGATTCAACATCCATCTTGAAGGTGGTCGAAGACGTAGTATCGTATGCGAGTTTGTTGGCTGAAGTGGAGGATTTGGGAGGTTGCGGCAAGTTCTTCGCGAGATGGAGAGGAAAGCGCGTCGACGCGTTTAATGGCTTTTGGCGGGGTCCTTCCCTTCCGTTAGGTAAGCTGTTTAATTAGTCTCTGCCCGCTCTTTCTCACATGCCCGGTGGTGGCCTGTCTGCCTGTGTCGTCTGGTTCCAGTGTGGGGAAAGATGAGAGCCAGGTACGTACTTTAGGTGGCAGCTACAATGTCAGTTTAAGGCACTTCACGCGGGGCAGCTACAAGCATCAAGCTGAGACGTCATCCCTGGTGGTGTTATGTACACGTACTTACTACAGATTTGGACCAAACGCTGCGCCAAGGGAGACAGAGTTCCGGGTTGACATTACACATCGCGAATCTCTGAGCTTACATCAACGTCGTGACATCTGTCTGCACTACTACCGATCTTTTTCTGTCCCAAAGACCTATTCGCCTCGAACTGCCGTGCTCCGCACAGATACCCATATCCCCGCTCTACACGATGACCCAGATCGACCCCATCATTGCGACGAAAGCTCCCGAGAGCAATGCCGCCGAGACGACCATCGTCACTGAGCCCGTGACCGAGAGCACTTCTGCCGCCGACACTCCAGCTCAATCCATCAGCCCTACGACCACTACGGGAGGCGCTGGAGAGCACAGCGAACACTGTGTGTCCGACAGACCGACTCGTAAGTGCTCCCGATGAGACTCTTAGTCATTTACGCAGGACTAACTCGAAACAGCGTCAGGCAAGTCCTCCACAGGTGAGATCATCAAGATCAATGATGTCGACGTGAGTAGATTACCTGTTTCGCGATCGCGACCGTATCGCGACCACGATTAGTTGTTGAATCAAGCCAGGTCTACATCTCGAAACCTGCCGACTACCCTCATGCGCCAGCCAGGCTTCTTCTCCTCCTGACGGGAGGCACGGGTCTCAAGTCTACAAACAACCAGCTTCAAGCCGATAAATTTGCCAGCGAGGGCTTCGTGGTGGTCATGCCCGATCTCTTCAACGGCGATGCGGCGCCCAACTCATCGACCATTGCCAGCAGCGAGGACACCGGATCATTCCTAGACACATTCAAGTTGAAGATCGTTGAGACGGCCAAGAGTTTCCAGATCGATATGTGGTTGGCGAGACACACAGAGGAGAAGGTTCTACCAATTCTCTATAAGGCCATTGAAGGCTCCAAGGAGAAGTTTGCCGATGCTGTGAAGAACGGCGACGGGATCTATGCTGTCGGTTACTGCATCGGAGGTCGATATATCCTACACCTGGGTTCAGACAAGAAGGTCGCGACGGGGGGTCCAGGACTCGCTGACGCTGAGGCTGGCGAAGTCAAGAGTGGCCCCTTTATCAAGGTCGGCGCGATAGCACACGGTGCATCTGTCACCCCTGATGACTTCACGGGCGTTAAAGTCCCTATATCTTTAGTCTGCGTCGAGAATGATCCTCTGTTCCCTGAGGAGGTCAGAACACATGGCGAGGACGTCATGTCAAAGGCAAACCTTGAACACGAGGTTCAGGTCTACCCTGGCGTGCCGCATGGTAAAGCCCAATGCTCTGCCCACAAAAAGCGCTGAATGAATGCTAACCTCCTCCAATAGGTTTCGCCGTAGTTGGCGAATATCAGGACACATCCATCAAGGATGCTCAGAGTACCGCATACGAGCAAATGTTGAAGTGGATCAAGGAACACTGAGAACAGCAAAGACCGCCTTCGTCTGCTTTTCATGGCCTCTGCTTCTGTTATGGGATTCCAACTTGCAAGTTTCTATGATATCAGTGCTTTATAGGAGCTTTCCTTACGGCCCTAGGGGTCATTATATCAATATTACAAGCTCTCCTGACAACGCTTCCCTCACAACATGCTAAGTATGCGACATCAAGTTTTATGTTGCCGTCTCTGCGTCGCTGGTAAAGCTCGAGTTCTTTCTCCCAAAGTCAAATGGAGTAGTAGAGCTATAGCTGCTTTTGTCCGTCGGCGTCGGCGCTGAAATGGGACCCCGAGAGTTGACTGCCACACGCAACTCGAGCGACTGGTCTTGGAAGATTCGCTGCGACCCCGAATTCGTGCTATGCGTCCTATTCGTGAGACTCAATGACGCATTCTTGATCTGCCGGCCAGCCTCGCGCAAGATCTGTCGCGCATTTGGCATGCAGGCCACCACTATGCCGGTGCAGATCTCGATGGCAGACCAGATCGTCGTCCCGCGCGCGTCGGCTGTCGCATTTGCTGATGTCGCAAATGGTATTAAGCTGTGAAGGCGTATGATGCTAACAACGGTGAGGCTGCATCTGGGTCAGTGTTCGCAGCCCTAACAATTGACGACCTCGGGGTCCACTCACAAGATACCCACACTGAACATGGCCATGATTCCAAGCTTCTTCTTCATCTTAAGGTTAAGTTTGTAGAGCTGTGTCAGGGGTAGAATCAGCATCCAGATATCGAGCGCAATGTTCATGCCGCCATGCACCAAGCCCATTTTATTGAGATCCAGAATGACACCGCGGGGCTCCTTGTCGCGCCAGCCCTCCCAGATGAGCCATGTAGGCTGTCTCTGGACGAAGCTAAAGACGATGAATATGAAACCCACGAAGAGATCGTAGGCCAGTGCGCACCATACGGCGATCCTGAACTTCTTTTCCGGGAAGATGCGTAGAAAAAATAGAAGAATGGACGCCTTTATAATGGTGAGGATGAAGATGTAAAGCGTCTGGACCATTAGGAGGTACTGCAAAATGTGAGTACATGGTCAATGGAAACTTTCCGCAGAGCCATCGGTGGGTCCTAGTGATACTTACCCTGAGGAAGGTAGTGATTTGGTAGTCGTGAAGAACCCATATGTCAAGTCCCAGGCCTTGCGGTATCACTGTGAGACAAGGTTAGCCATCCGTCGCTCATACAGATTCCTCGGAGTCATGACTTACTGTACTGTATAAGAACAGTGAAAGGAATCAGGGCGGCCTAAATGGCCGGAGTTAGTCAACTTGACATAAGAATCAGAGGTAATTTGTAAATATGGTACACTCACAAACGCAAGTACCAACAAACTATCATCAGCTCCCCACGGAGTGTACCCCATGACTTTAATAACAATTCTGCATGCAAAGAAGGCAGACGCGAGTATGAACATGCCGAGACTGGTCGCCTTCGACCCCTTGCGATAGTCCGAGAAAGGGAATCCACATGCGGTTCTTGTGATGTTGACAAAGGCTGCAGATAAAACATCTCGTTAGACAAGTCGTTTTCCGGTGGGAGATAGCATTGCACTCACTCAGGGACTCGACCACGCTACATGCTTGTTGCACACAACCTCCGACGAAGTTGTTGAAGCCTTCATCGACACATAATTGAGCCTGTGATTGATTTGCAAATGCAGGCTGGCTCATTGCTTGTACAAGACATGTTGTCTAGATCCACCATTAGCTTTTTCAACGGCGGGTACTATGAACCTAATCCAACGACTAGCAGAATAAAAATGTATACTTACAGAGCACTGTGGAGCGTCTGCCAACGACTGCGCGTCAGCGAGACTCAAGAGGAACGAAGCTCCAACGGCGACGATGAACCGCAGAGTCAACATTTTGGGACTCCTCTGACAGCGAACAATACACACAAGTCCGCGAATCGCACATCAACTTCAAGGAACGGCCAGAACAGGAGGAAGCGCTGGGAGGATCGTGCCGGTGGGAGAATGTAAGAGGAGGGGGTCCCCACGTCAAGTTATTGCTTCTCTTTGTGTAGATAACAGAATCGGTACCCAGTGGGCATAGCCAAGGGCCATCTCAACAGCGATGTGCGAGGCCCCCAGACGGGTACCCCAAAGACGGCGTTGGCACAGTTTTTCCTTTGAACTTTTGATCCAGCCAGGCCACAGCTGCCTCTGACTTTGGAATAGGGCACGTTAGCGGCGTGGAGCATATCGCCATATGCCCCCAATCGTTTCACTGTTTCAGCCAAAACGGAGGAGAAAGGACGATTCTGTAGAAATTCCAGAGCGGCCCCGAAGAAGGAAGGACAATGCTAGGGAAGGAGACCAGTCTGTTGCCAGAGTTGCGGTTTGCTTCAAAGCTAGGGAAGGTTGCTCTCATCGTCAAGTCTTGGAATGTCTCACGGGATTGCGTTGCGCCCGCAAACAGATACGATCCCGCTAAAGATCGGGAAAGACCAAATCAGAAAGCTGGACCTCGGCATGTCCCACCCGCGCGGCCCCTCTTCCGGACCAACTGGTCGCAAGCCAGGTTTGCCGCGAGCAGTCAGCCCTCCTTTGAACTCTCATCCCCCGTCTCCGGATCGAACTTCGCCCATGCAAATCCTCGCAAATAGCTCAGCAAGAGCCGGGCTTGAGGTAGCCGGTAGATGATGAGTAACGGTTGATCATTTCACCAATCAGCGACGACGCCGTGGCTGAGATGGGCACATGCTCAACTGGAATGTGATGAACCAAGTCAGCAACGGGTGGCGGAATCGAGTGAGGTTTTCCTTGTCTAGACCCCCGATGCCCACGGCGACCCTGCTTTTAAGAAAGGCCGAAAGGCCGAAGGGCTAAGTCGCCGTGGTGGCCAACTCGGTCCGTCTAGGCGCTCCTGGTTACTAGAAATCTTCAAAAACAGCAGCATTACGCGGATGAAAATGTTGAAATTCCGTGACTTTGCACCACATAGATGGCTGAACAAATGCTCTAGGCATCAGCATCACCTGTTCCGACTCGTTGATAGAGTCCTAGACCTTGGAACCGGCTCGTTTCAGTAATCCGTTGCTCCCTCTAAGAAATAGTACAGATAATCTTGCCCGAGTTCTTGTTCGCCTCCAACAGCGCGTGAGCCTCCTGTACCTTTTCCCATGGGAGCACCGTGTCAATGACGACCTTGAGCTTCCCCGTCTTGAAATCCGGCACATACTCCTCCAACCGGTCCCTCAACTTGCCCTGATACTCAACATCCCTGCTCCGCAACGTGCTGCCCTCGAGCCTGATCCTCTTGTACAGTAGAGGCCCAATGTTGGCCCCCTCAATGTTGGGCCCGCCCAACAGGCCGAGCAGGACGATACGCGCATCCCTCGCTGCGACGTCAAGGTTCTTCTGGAAGTAGCCACCCCCGACAAAGTCGACAATCACATCCACGCCCTTGCCGCCCGTCACTTCCTTGACCTTCTCGGCCCAGTCGCCCTCCTTGTAGTTGAAGGCCGCCGTGGCGCCAATCTCGTTGACGACGAAGTCGCACTTCTCCTTGGAACCGGCCGTCGCATAGACGGCAGACGCGCCCGCGTCCTTAGCCAACTGGATGCCCGCGATGGAGACGCCAGAGGCACCCGCATGCCAGAGGACGGATTTGCCCTTCGAGAACTCGCCCACGAGGAATAAGGCTTGCGTGGCAGTGATCCAGGTCTGGAATCTTTGTCAGCTTTGGCGACTGCCATGGATGGGATTTATGCGCACCTCTGGGATACCAGCGGCCTGCTCCCAGGACAGGAAATCGGGCTTGTGCAACAGCATCTTGCTATTGACGGCGATGTACTCGGCGTATGCGCCACCGTACGCGAGACCAAACACCTCATCTCCAGCCTTGAAATTGCCGTGGTCGCCCTCGCCAAACGTTTCGATAGTCCCGCTGAACTCGACTCCCAGGGTCTTGGGCGCCTGAGGCGGAAGCGGGTACAAGCCAAGACGTTGGATTTGGTCCATGCGGTTGATGCCAAAGGCCTTGATCTTGACCAGGGCCTCGCCGTCGCCCGCCGTGGGCTTTGGAGTATCGGCATTGATGAACAGGTTCTCCTTGGGACCTTTGCCGTCCTTGATGTCTGTTTGTATTTGTAAGCCAGTTGCTCTTGGGATTCCGCCACACAAGGTAAGAAGGCATGTTTGACGGACCAACCGCTCTCATTGTTAAGGCCATTCTGCTGGAAATTCTGACAAAAAATCTCGAATTTGAGAAAAGTGCACTTAGAAAGTTGGGTTTTAAAGAATCCAGGAATTTGCTAGCAGTTGAAAAGCATGAAGTCTCATCGAGGTCCCCGTTTGGTTCCCCTCAATGACGTGCATCCGGGCCCAATGACTAATCCACTCGGGCACCCCCGTGCCGCTCCGTGGCCGGCTCCAGTATTCCCGTGCCGTGTCCACTTAGGTTTCCAATCGTTGAACATTCTCTTCATCAGACCTTCGTGCTGATATGGGGTTTCGCAATAGCGTAGATACGGTTATTATAGCTCAAACTTCAGCTAAGAGCAATGGCCTCGTTCACGTTGATTTCCGGGTTTCTGAGGTGTCCTCCCAGTTTCTGAAGGGTATTATGGTCATGCCAGTTTGATGTCAGTTCTCTTGTGTGGTAGGCTTCTCAACTAACCTTAAAGTTGATTCACATTGCCACAGTCCCAGCGCGCTCTAATGCCAATGGCATCGTCCGGCAGCGCAATAGCTCTTCGAAACATTTATTTAAGAGTCCCTAAACCCCAACTCCTCAGCTATGCCAGACTGGTTGGAGAGGAAGTCTGGGATGATCGTACGTGCCCTTCCTGTAGGTTAGACAATCGGGCGTCCACGTTCCTCGCCACGGATCGTATCTCGTGGGGCGGAAGCGACTATCGACCTGTGCTTATTCTTCCCTGACTAATTGTGATTTCGAGAACGTCGAGCTCGTTATAACGTTGACAGCAAATTGGATTTAGTAAGGACCATGGTGTCAAGTCTTGCAAGAAAGTACTCAGCGAATGGCCTACGTCGACTGAAATGTTTCTGTCTATCCAAGGCACACCCGTCGAGCGCTGAGTAATTCTCGAGGCGGTTTCGAACCAAAACCTCCGACGCCGAGGTCGAGCGATGACAACCGCCCCTCACTTCACGCTCAACCCTCTCCAACATTTAGTTCCCAAGCCCACACAGGTTTGTGAATTTTCACGATCCAAGGAAGGCCACTCGAGGGTTAGACATTTCTATCCTCGAACTGCGTTCGGCGTCACCGGGCGTGCGAGCCTAACAATTTTGAGATTGTCATCTGTCCTGGAAGAGAGCTTATGGCCAACATAAGTCGAAATCCACAAACTGGGCTATTAGTTCCAGAAATCCCGAGCCACCGGGTGGTTCTCCAGATCTTGACAGCCTTGTGTGTCCCACGGGGAAGGTGGCCAAGCTAACGTTGATAGGTCGAAGTGGTCTCGGAGATGGCGTACTTCTGGGAGCATGAATCGTAAAGCTGGATTAGTAAAGACACTGAAGTGTCCGTGGACAATCCAGAGGAATGTCAGCGAGTCGAATGGCCCAGAAAGCTGAGCACAAAACTTGATACGATGAGCGCTGGCTAGTTCGCGTCTGAATACCTCTTTGGTGAACTTGTTCGAGTCAATTGACTCCCGAGACCCTCAACATAACAAGAAGCAGCAAAAAAAATATGTAGGCTTCAGGTACAGTCACAAATCATCTCGTCCCATCCAATGTGAGAGTGAAAGAACGAGGACAAGTAGAAGGAAGTGGGGGGGGGGGGGTGGAAGGATGAAGATCGGTCAACCGTCCCAATTGTTGTTGAGTTGTTCAAGGTCTGTGTTTTGTGGAAATTAAATGATGTTCAGGCAGTACTGCAACACCCCGGATTGGCGTAGGTGGCCGGCCTGATTGCTGCACAGACCAACACACCACCGCTGGAGGCGGCCGGGGCAGGCAGACCCGCTGCAAGCCTTCTAGATCGTTGACGGTGAATGTGCCCGTCTAGGCAAAGCTTGCAGTTCCTGCGGAAAACAGCTCGCTAGAAATGTCTTGGTAGAGCTCTAGGTTGGGCTGAACCGAACGAGGGGTTAGTTGTGGAGGTGCCGCCACAGATGAGTCGGGCGAGCCAGTTGGTGGTTCCTGGAGAGAAAGCTAGAGGAGCTCTTTGCCAATGGGCAGCGCCTTACGAACACAGTAGACATATCCATATTCGCGGCTGCGCCGTGGGGAATTGTCGACAACAGAACGGACGTTATCCTGCCTATGGGCGCCAGGATTGTTTCTTGTCCACTTTCTCCTTGACTGGAAGGTAGAATACAATGGGAGAAGGAAGAACAAGGCCTCGCAGAGACAGTCACTCGTACTTGATCGTATTCAAGCGGGCGCTCTTCAGGCCAGGAGATTCTTAGGAGGGCGTCTTTCCTGGCAAGCGATGTAAATATTGACGTTGTTCGGGGACCGTGGAGAAGTTGGGCGCAGTTTCCAGGATCTCGATACGGTGACAGACGATGATCGACGCTGATCTACGGATACTCCGAGCGATTAACATAGCATGTCTCCGCTGAACGCAAAGACTTGAACTCAAACGGCGGAGGACCGAAGCTCTAGAAGAGTCGCACGGGAGGGTGCTGGGACCCCGGGGACCTTTGGGTGTGGCCTCTCGAATGCTCCCCTGTCCCTATGATGATACTCTAACTGACATGTGCGGGAAACCTGGAGGAACCCTGTCGTGCCTGTCTTGCCCTGGCACGTCTACACAGCAAGTTGCCGGCATGACATTGACCCAGATGGACCTAGACGAAGGACCTGAAGTTTCCCTTTGCTTCAGGGCAGATCCGAGGCCGGCCATCCAATGTTTTGACACTTTGGTCGTCGTCCTGTGTTTTTGTCTGAGAGCGTGACCCTCGGACAAACTGTGGCTAAAAATGGAGCTTTCATCTGACGCGAGATCCGTCCGGTGTTCTCCTCAGCGGCGGGTAACGGTGGGGGCGATCTTGGGAGATATTCCTTCGACATGTTTGACCGAGCTGCCAAATCATTCGGATATGCTTTGCAGAAAGTAACTCGGTCCAAAGGGAAGGGAAGAGGATCATGTATCACTGACAAGTGGCAACTGACTAGAACGAGCAAGAGGCGAAACAGGCAACTGGCAACCCAAAATGGGCAGCGAAGGGTGTTGGCGCTGGAGAAAGAACGAGCGCACTTTTAGATCCTATTAATGGCTCGTCATAGCCAGAGTTGGTTCAAGTTGGAACCCGCAGGGCCCGAACGCCTTCTACAACACCACTTAGGTACTTGAGGCAGATAATAGCAGCCAGTGTTTCTTACCCAAATAGGCGAGATTTTTGTGGATCTATCCCATTTGATCCAATTAAAGCTCTTAAACGGCCAATTTTCCGGAAATTACCCTATCGTCGCCCTATATCTTCCGTCTTCACTTTTCCACGGTCGCCAACAGGGCGTGGAGCAGGCTCGCGGAAGTCTCAAGCATGTTCGTCTTTCGGACAGGACGCAAGCCACGGCTCTCGACAAGGCCCTCGAAAGACGACTCTCTTACGGAGTCTCGGCTACTTTATTTTTGTCGCCTTGGGATCAGGCCGCGCACTGGGAGTCTGGAACAGCAAACCCGTCCACCCATCCCAGGCGGACTTTGTCGACTTGGACGTTGCATGGTACCTGCATTAGCGCCAGGTTTTGTTCCTGAATCCTGACTTGATTGGCACTCGGCTGGTGACACCGGTCGGTCAGCCGTCAGCACCGGCTGCCGCGGTCACAAGTGAGTTGGCAAATAGGTCTGAATGCATGGCGCGTCCGCTCGACTACTGCGAAGATCACGACAAGGGTCTGGCAGAGCGTCTTACTTCGTACAATCAAATGTAAGGAAGATACGGAGTACGACTGGCCAAGCTGGCCAAGCTGGCAGACGGAAGGCGGCCTGGAATCTCGGATCACGGCTGCGCGTCAAGCCAAGACTCCCCTCCCCGCCCTTGAGCAAGTGTGGGATCGACCGGCATGTCGGAAAGAGCGATGCGTACATGTATCCGTACGTCCATTGGCAGCCCGGCCGCTGGTTGATGGTTGATTGACCCGCTGAAATTACTCAAGCTTACCTTGACTCTGTTTCTTGAGGTGGGCTAGAGTCATCTCATCTCTCGTCCGAACTCCTTGCAGTTTCGGAGCGGTTCAATCGGTCGCGATTAGGATCAAGGACCGATTCGCACGCAAGGAGTTTCCAAAGGGTGTTTCCGAACAACAATGATGAAGCAAAACACAGATGAACAACGAATGATCAGATTAGGCAAAGCAAGCGCTTGCTGGTCAGTCATCTCGTGGCTCTACGGTACACAGCATTCGTACACTCGTGACTCCCTAGGTACCGGTAGTAATGCCCACTCTGAGTGGTCACTCGGGTCCGAGTGGGGCAAAAGATAAATGAATCCCACACCTCAATTCCCACGCTTCAAGGTCTGTCCCCTTTGTGTGCATATCCTAAGGAACGGATACGGTACCATGCCATCCTCTTTCACACACCCCCTTGATTTCATCCCGCTTCCACCCAGACTTAGCCATTTTCGAGGATACGTACCGCCTTGGAATCAACTTCTAGCCAGTCTATTCGACTTCTCTTTTGCTTTTCCTGTTTCCCACCCTCGGCCAAGGAGGTTAAGCCGCTTACCTAGTCTGCCCGACCTATTCTAGACTGCCAAAGCCACCAGTACCAGCGAAGGAAACGCAAAAAAACGCACAAGCGCATACTACGCATACACACCCGGTCTTACCCCTTTCCCGTCCGTCCACGCAAGTCATCCACCATGGCCTTTTCTTCGTGTTTACCTACTGCCCTCGTTACCAAGAACCCGTTCGCATAGCCCCCTTCTGATTCGTCTAAAATGAAATAAGCTGGTCAGTGAATGGCCAAAGGGAACAGAAACCAGCCCCACTGTTGAGCCATGGATAAGGTAGCGCCCATGTTAGCAGGAGACCGGGGGAAGGGCGGCGTGTGCTCTCTTTCGCCCTCTCGGTCCAGCTCCTCTTCTCATCTCCAGGCCCAGGAGATACGGTACTCCACCCATCATGACCGGGCGAGGGTCCTGTCCCTGAACCATCCCATTTCCTTACTGCAAGCCAGGGCCCAAGGTAGCACAGGCACTCTTGCAATCCACAGTCGACACTAAGCTGCTCCGTAGTGTAGAGCCCAGTGTCCACCACCCCAGTTCCCATGTCGTGTTGTTCATCTCTGTATATAAGTCCATTTCCTCCAGGCTATCCCGTTTCCCGCTTCCCTTCCCTCCTCACCCACACTCACTCATTCAGTGCCGACCCAGACTTTTTAGTCGCTTTCACTCGTTAACCCAACCACCTAATCCTCAACCCGCAACTACAACTCTCTCGAGTCTTAATACCAAGTTCTCCTCCCCCCCAAAAAAACAACCGTCAAAATGAAGTTCTCCGCCGCCGCCCTTGTCCTCGCCGCCGCCGGCGCCATGGCCCACAAGAACGTCACCTACGTCACTGAGGTCGTCACTGCCTACACCACCTACTGCCCTGCTGCCACTGTCATCACCCACGGTGGCAAGACCTACAACATCACCGCGGTATGTCGAACTCAGAAGGTGGACGGGATGGTCTCGAAGGGTTTCGGGGGGTCGCCGGCCAAGCGCCGGCTTCGATGCTCCCCGGAACTCTGGGACTCCTTAACATTCACCTCTAAACCCTCCATCTCGATACCAAGCTAACACTTTCCAGGCCACCACCCTGACCATCACTGACTGCCCCTGCACTGTCACGAAGCCCGTCATCACCTCCTCCATCGTCAAGTGCGAGAACTGCGCCGCCCCCACCCAGAACGGCACCTTCCCCATCGCCACTCCCGTCCTCAGCAAGACCGTCGCTGGCACCGCTGCCATCACCCCCACCAAGCCCGTCTCCGTCCCTACCGCCGGTGCTGGCAAGGCCGCTGCCCTCTCCGGCGCCGGTCTGGCTGGTGTCCTTGGATTCGCCGCTTTCGTCCTCTAAATCAATCTTCACGTCTCGCCATCCACGTCTCCCCCTACGATCTTTGACGTACGATAATGTCTTCATTTTCGTGGGGAGCCTACGACACCTAATGACTGGAGCGCGGTTGTGACCATCCACCAAGTAACCGACTGGATGGGATTTTTTTACGGGGTGGAGTTTGGGGAGTCTCCTTGGATAGGAGAGCTTGGGAATGGCCCCAAGACGACGGAGGAAGAGAAACGACTACGCCCACAGAATACCCGGTACATTTTCTTGCCTGCATGGCGCCATGGAGTTTTCTTTTCACGGAACGTCCAAGCCATGCAGTAAAACCAAACCTGTCAATACTGCAACTTCTTGTACTTGCTTTGCGAACCCCGCCCACCCAATAACGGTTTTTATATGGCTCGGTATTCCCGTCAAAATCGCCAATTTGAGGATCATATCCGTGTGTGTTTGCGGTACATACCATCCTCTTTCGTCTTTTTCGAGAGACTTCAAAATGGGAATACAATGTGACCATGATGGGGTAATTTTTGCTGTCTTCCTCTTCCTCGCGGCAGAATAACCTGTTTGAACCAATTCACATCATATTCTTCTCTCGTCTAACATGGAAATCTTTGCTCACGTATCTCGCTCACCACTGTCGGAAATATGGTCACCCTTTCGTGTAGGCCTTTGTATTATTGAGAATCCTTATATCAGCGGACGAACGCTGTGATTCCACTATCTCGTGAAAATAAGTGGCAGAATGCGTTATGGTTCCACATACATCTTTGGTTGTCTTTCCCCAGAGGTATTGAACTCGGGGGGAAAAAAACATTCCTGGATGATCAATTTTGGTCCGACCAGTGGAACAATCCGAGGAGGAAACACCAAAGTTTCTGGGCTTGAAACCTAATCTACCTGGATGGAAAAAAGAGTTTCCAGCTCTTTCCCATTCTGAACGTGTATGAGGTTCAAGACATTCCGCATAGTTTTGACCGTAGCCCGTTTGAGGTTGGAGCGGGGACGCCTATCTGCGTTAGTATAGTGCGAGAGTATTGTCACGTTGTCGGAAGCCTTCTTTGGCAAACGGTTGTACCAAATTGGTCCAAGACATGGAAAGACACCGGAATGGATAGTCTGGCAATAGCGCGGAGTTTAATGGCGAAAGTCCAGAGGTTTGAAGGATACGATTTCTGGCGATAGAGAGATACCAGATGGAGACGGAGAGAGAATAGGGGGTTCGTACGCGTACATCGGCGTCATTTCGCTTGAGCTGGACAAGGTCATTCGTGTTGAAAACCTGCGTGAAGAGGACTTCGTGTGTGTGCGTGAGTGTCTTGGACAGAGGGCGCAGTCCCGCATACCTACTCTGGATCGAGTGTTCTGCTTGGTTTCCCCTTTTGCGCCGCAGCCGTGCCGCATTCCTTGTGCCTTGAGCGCATACGAGAAACAATTCTTTCTTGGGGTCTTAGGAGAGGCGCGGCCTCCCAGCCAAGAGGAAGAGGGAGGGGGCGGAATAGGCTGTTCAATCCGTTGGAAAGACGGCGAGCTGAGAGCTGGGCGGATGTGGGTGACCCTTGTAGCTGCAGCCCGCCTGACAGACCGCCCCTCGGGGCTGAGATGATGCTTTCCTGTGTTGTTGTTGCATCCAGATCGATTAAGGTTGTTTAGTTTGCTGGTTGTTTTGTGTTTTCAGCAGACCATGGAAAAGAACTTTACTGTGTGAGGGATAGGGGGGAGTCCCGTCGGGACAGGTGTGGTGGCGCTGCGCCGTACCTGCATCTTGCAGCGCTTGGGCGCTTCTGTAGCGGTGACGGTTCGGGCCCGGATTGGGCGGGATGAGGACGCACACACGCTGGCCGTGGTAGATTTATGGATCTTTGTACATATTGTCGATGAGCTGGAACTGGAACTGGAACGTACCTCAGAGTAAGGTAGGTACCCAAGGTAGTGCAGCTGATGACTCCAGGCGTATGGGTCAGCGATACCGCTTTAAGATCACGATGGACAATACAGTCAGCTGAAAATAGAAGCTTTGGAATGAGGGTGAAGCGCATTCTCAACGACAAGGAATTGTGAGCGCCAGAGGAATGGGAGAGTCCGACTCAAGATAGAGGAGCAGAAAGAGACATACGTGCCACCTACGGACAATATCCGTACCTACCTAGTTATTTCCTATGCGCACTCCCCACCAACCTATAGCTTTAGAGTCATATCACTCTAGAAGAATCGATAGCCCCGTAAATATGCAAATTTGCATGGATGCAAACACCGGCTCAAGCGAGATTAACAACCCATCTTGGCCTCGCTGCGCCGATCGCCATGAATCGAATTTCCACGAATGCATAGAGCACATGGATTGTCGTCCAGGATCTTCGGAGGATAAGAGGCAATAAATGCTCTGTAGATGACGGATATGGATAACATTCACAGTAAGGCCCAAAAAGAGACAGGGCCATAGGGAGTTGTCACTGCTTGTCGTTTAAAGCTTGGCGCCCGGGGGGCGAGATCTTCATTGTCAATCCCCCAGGCTGGGCCTTTCAGTTTCGTTTCCCCGCTGCTCACCTTCCATACGCAGCATGAGCGTTTTTCTCCAACCTACGGATATTCTTCCCGGATCTTAGAGGGTGTGGAGTCCGGCGACAGCCGGCTGAGCCGGAGCGGTTTGTGGAGCCATGCCGCTTGAACCGTTGGCTCGAACGGTTTCGCATGTTGACTCTCGCTCTTCGCCGTGCAGACTACGGAGTAACTCGTAGTGGACAAGATGAATGTTTCGGGGCTCACTTGCGACTGCCGGTCGAATGAAATTCCGGAGCGAGTGGGTTGGACTTTCAATAGTGGACTATGATAGCAAGGTGAGGGCCAGTCTTGGAGAAGATTGTGGTGAGCAGCAACGAGGCGTCATTTCTACTTGCTTTCGCCACAATGAAGCTGGCTGCCAAGGCTTCTCTTCTTTTCTCTGTCTCATTCATGGGCAATTATGGAGGCAGTCATAGGGTGTGTTGCTGAATTGACTGGGTCCTTCGGTTGAGTTGCTACAGCACCGACAGTCCTTGGGGTTTCCTTATCAATAGGTACTCATACACTGAACTGAGCTTCGGATTACTTGCGGGGATTTCCACCTGACAAACTCAATTGCGCAGCCAGAGCAGGCCATCGGCAAGCCTACGTGACGTATGGGTCTAGCGGGGAGCCGAGTGGGACCGTCACAAGTCTCTGGGGAAACGGTCTCGATCACTTCATCCCCAATATCTTCAGTGAGAATTGATGAAGCATTGGCCTCAAATCTAGGCTACTTACCTGGTGAGTAGGGACATTGGCGAGGAGATATGAGGTGTGCCAGAGAAATTCACATTCAATGAGTTCAATCACGCATTTACGATACATCCAGTAGCGAGCTTCTTGATGTATTGCTGTGTATCTACTCTCATCCCTACGAGCGTTCCTTGACCATTTCAGACAATCACCAGCCTTGCCCAACTCCTAACAGGATAAGAGAAAGCAACAAGCTACAGGCGGAGACAAGCAAGGTGACACAGATCAACTCCGTGGGGTCCCCTCCCGATGGAAGAAGCCAAGATTGGTTGGCGATGTCGGCGTGGTCGGCAATGACGGTCGGTCCCTTTACCCCGGGTCAACGGAATGCGGGGAAGGTGCCTCCTCAACCCCAAGACGAGCCAGCCAACGCACCAAGATGAGAGGGCACGTCAACTGCTGCTGCAAGGATAGAGCTCTCTCGTATTTCAACACCGTCCCAACCCCCAAACTTCCAGCCGCCCGATCATTTTAGAGAGCCGAGGCCGAGAGGATTCATATAATACCCCACGGTCATGTCTCTGTAGCTTCAATGCAATTTAAACTTTTACCATCTCCAGTCGTAATCTGACCAGCAAGTTGTCTTATTTTCTCACGGCCAAAGACAATCACCACTCACTCGGCAAAGCAAACGCGCAAGCTGCTGCCAGTATGGACAACTTACACCCTCAAGACGAGGTCTTGCGTCACTCCCTTGAGGACCCTGAATCCTTCTGGGCTCACCAGGCCGAACATCTTCACTGGCACAAGAAGCCCTCTTCGACATTGAAAGTCACCAAGAAGACGCTCAAGAGCGGCGTCACCCACAACTCCTGGGAATGGTTCCCGGACGGTGAGATTTCAACCTGCTTCAACTGCGTAGACCGCCACGTTCACGATGGTAGGGGTGACGCCCCGGCGATATACTACGATAGTCCTGTCACGAACACCAAGCAGACCCTCACATACAAGCAGCTACTCGACGAGGTTGAGGTATTTGCCGGAGCGCTAAGGGAAGAGGGAGTGAAGAAGGGCGATGTCGTCTTGGTTTATAGTAAGCATCATTCCCTTCACACAAAGAAGACGGAGTGAGTTCTTGGTACCAAGCTCACCCCGTGTTCAGTGCCTATGATCCCCGCGGCATTGATAGGCATCCTCGCCGTCAGTCGCCTGGGAGCCATCCACGCCGTTGTTTTTGGTGGGTTTGCACCGGCCGCCCTCGCACAGCGTATAGAAGCCTCTCAGCCCGTAGCCATACTGACGGCGTCGTGCGGCATCGACGGCAACAAGCCGCCGATGAGCTATAAACCGCTCGTTGAGGAAGCCTGCCAAATCTCCAAGCACAAGCCTGACAAGGTGATTGTATGGCAGCGCGAGCAGATCCGGTGGAACCCCATCAAGAGGAATGACGGCGAGAGGAACTGGCAGAGCATCGTAAAGAGCTGTCGTGCGAGGGGCGTCAGGGCCGAGTGCGTTCCCGTCAAGTCAACGGATCCAATCTACATTATACACACATCGGGGACGACAGGGTCGCCGAAGGGCGTGTTGAGGGATGCTGCGGGGCACGCTGTCGGACTGCATCTTTCCATCAGTTACCTATTCAACATTCACGGCCCGGGATGTGTTTCGTTCACAGCATCAGATATTGGATGGGTACGTCCCATGAAGCTTCCGACGAAAAGTCAGATTCTGACATATGATTATATAGGTGGTAGGGCACAGCTACATTGCATATGCCCCCTTATTTACGGGCGCCGCAACGGTTCTCTACGAGGGCAAGCCTGTCGGCACACCGGATGCATCGACCTTCTGGCGCATCGTGGAAGAGTATAAGGTCAACACCATGTTTACGGCACCGACGGCTCTCCGTGCCATCAAGCGTGACGATCCCGAAAACAAGTTTTTCCAGCAGATAGGAGAGCGTGGCGGCCTTCGGACGCTCAAGGGACTCTTCTTGGCGGGTGAGCGGTCCGAGCCGGCAATCATTACCATGTATCAGGAGCTCCTCGAAACCTACGGCGCCGTCGACGCCCACGTTGTGGATAACTGGTGGTCGACGGAGGCTGGTTCGCCCATTACGGGGAGGGCTCTCGTGCCTCATGCCGGGAAAGACCGAAGTACGGATGTCCGTGATCACCCTCCTCCCAAGATCAAGCCGGGCAGCGCCGGGAAGGCCATGCCCGGCTTCGACGTCCGCATCGTAGACGACGACGGCAAGGAGGTCCCCAGAGGCACTATGGGAAACATCGTCCTCGGGCTGCCGCTTGCCCCAACGGCTTTCAGAACACTATGGCAGGACGAAGAGCGGTTCTACAAGGGCTATCTCAAGCGTTTCGACGGGAAGTGGCTGGATACGGGAGACGCAGGATACATCGACGTCGAAGGTTACGTCAACGTCATGTCTCGCAACGACGACGTGCTCAACGTCAGCGCCCACCGGCTGTCAAGTGGTAAGAAGACTTGTGACCCCCCCACCTCACATCCGCTCCAGTAGATTCACGGAACTAACAAACAACAAAAGGCGGGCTCGAACAAGCCATCACATCCCACCCTCTCGTCGCCGAAGCCTGCGTGGTGGGAATACCGGACGCGCTCAAAGGCCAGCTACCCTTCGCCTTCGTCACGCTCTCGACACCTGAGCACCCGAACTCGGCGGTGCCGGACGCGAAGCTCGCTGACGAGATCAACGCGCTCGTGCGGTCGCAGGTCGGTGCCATCGCCACGCTGGGCGGGCTCATCCAGGGGAAAGGGATGATTCCCAAGACGCGCAGCGGCAAGACGTTGCGACGCGTTCTGAGGGAGTTGTTGGAGAACGCCGTGCACCAGGAGTTTGAAAAGGAGGTCCAGGTGCCGAGCACGGTTGAGGACGCGGGCGCGGTGGATGTTGCGAGGGAGAAGGTTAAGGAGTATTGGGAGGTTAGGGGGGACGGGCATAAGAGTACGGAGGCTAGGGCGAAGTTGTAGATGTTGGGACGTGTCACTTGAGGCAAGAGAACCCTGTCTATGGGTGTCCTCATTCATTTTAGCAATGCGATCTTTCAGTTTTGAGAATTACGTATCTAGACGTGTTTATCTAAGGTAGGGAATACTTTACACAAAACTCATTGCGATATTATCGTGTCTGACGATTGACATGTAGAGCTACGGTAGGGAACAGCAGAGAGTAGGAGCAGACGCCATATTGCGATCCTAGGGGACTGGAGAAGGAGAGCAAAGTCCATATTCTTCCAAAATACCAGTAGATGCTAACTGAAGCTACCTTGTGGATTAGATGCATAGATGCCTTTGTATTAGCGGGCCTGTTTTTATTACCGAATAATCACCATCGATGGGCTGGAAAATGCTTAACCTATAGAGGATATTAACAACTGGCACTCGCGAGTGTTATCAAGTTCTGCCCACTCGAGTTATGGAGGTACATTATGTCGCCACATTGTTTCATGAAAGACTCATTCCATAAGATTTCAATGATATAGGGAAACCAGTTGTCATGATATCTTCCCAACCTCCCTTGAACAAAACTACAGAAACATAATTACATCTCGATATTGTTGTATATTTAGCCATTGGCTTTAAGGACATGCGGAAATACCAGGACTTCATCCCATCTCCGTGGTTCATGTCCACTACGGATGTAGCCCTCATTGGCAGCCTTCTCTTGAGCTCAGGGGGAATACGAGACGTGCAACCCCGACCTTGGGATTCTAATCATCAGTCAAGCCCCATAGCCAGGACTCATCCAATGAAGCCAAGAAAGCCTGGTTCGACTTACCATCTACCGCCCCATGCGATTACTATTGACGACGACGGCCGTCGTGCGACATGAAGCCGTCGCTGCAAAGCGACACGCGCCCGCAGGATGGATGGTACGACAAAAACCGAGAACCATCGCCTCGTATCCACGATCGACTTGGTCACACCCCTCGCCCTAGGCCTCGTCATGGTCAGCTTGTGCGACAGATAGAAACTGTATCTTATCAACGTACCAAAAATCCTACGTGCCCATGACGGGAAGACGAGGCTCGAGGAGACCTGGTACCCGTACCGAGTCGCGGCCGTCGTATCATGTTTGCTCACAAGCCGTCGGACGTGTAACAGTATCCAAAGCTAGGCGGCTGTTTCTTATTCGGTCTGCGGGAAATGTGCTCTTGGTCTGTTGAGATGAGAGACACGGGATGTCATCTACGGAAGGTCGACGGGGAGAAGTGTCCGCAGGCATGTTGAATATGATCTCCATAAGCGACGTGGTATTGGTGATTATGAAGTTCTAAGTGGAATAGCCAGTAAGAAGAGTAGTCCCCAACCAACGCCTCGTATGCTGAACAGTGACATACCCCCCGATGTACACCTGGTATCGTTGTACCTGCAGCTCTGATCCTGTTTTCGCCCATGCAAGTGACCACCAATGCAATATCTGATAACCGACCTTGTTCGTATACGCTATTAAAGTTTCACTGAAAGAACGAAGCACCTCAACTTGCTGGCCCAATAGGAGATCCCGTGGGGGGTTGCCTCCCATACATCCCATAGACACTTCGTTGGCCCTCTCTCGCGACTTTCAGGGGAGCAAAGCGTGCTTCAGGCAACCGGCTTCCCACCTTGAGGCTCTCCATAACCCTGCGGTAGTATTAGCATACGCCAGTCCGGATAAGCAGGACAGACAGGGAGAGAGGGGAAAGGGACACACCATTCAACTCCAACGTACTTGACGGCAGACCCGCTGATCCTGCGAATCTCCTTCTCAAGTTTGCCACCCGCAAGCCCTCCGCCGGCTCCGGCGCCTACGCCTGCCGGCCTCCCGACAATGACATGCGTGACCTGCCTCCGCCCGAGGTGTATAGACATGCGCGCACCGTTCTCGACCAAGACGCGCTTGAGTCGGTGGTCCGAGATGATGGGATGCGTGCTCCCGTTGACGTAAACCGTGACGCCCTCGAACAGTCCCCTGCCAGCCGTCCTCCTCGCCTCAGCTTCCTCGTCCTCCTTCCGCCGGGCTTCCATGACCTCCTCCTCGCTCTTCACGTTTCCACCCGCAACAGCAGATATGCTAGACGTCGTGGAGCCGGTCTCGGAGACGGACGAGCCGCTCCTCATCAGCCCCGGCCGCGCCAACATGTCCGCCACGCTCATCTTCGCCCTCGCCTTGACGTCCTTGGGCACCACCATCTTCAACTTTTCGTCAAAGTCCTCGCTCCCGGCGCCGTACGTGTCACTCATGCGGGCACCGCCAGCGTGGCCGCCCGCAAACTGCTCCGAGAGCTTGCGGGCGCGGCTGGCTCTCCATCCTGTCGTCCCGCCCGGGGTGTTGTCCGGACGTTGATGGCCGGTGGCACTCGAGTTGTACGGATCAAAGGTGTTGCCGAACCGCGGCTTTGCGGCTGGCGGAAGAGAGGTCCTCTCCGGCGAAGGCATCGCAATTGGATACCCCGCGCGTACAGAGTACTGTTGTGCAAAAAAAAAATGTTTTCTTTTTCCCACCCTTTGCTAGGATGCGAGGTGTGAACGGCGCCGTAATGCAAGGCGCATGCGCGTTGAGCATGCAATATCGTTCAGGTCCACACTGTAGGAACGTTGAATCATAATGCTGGATTTCGCCTCTAGTTTCTCCACGAGCAAAACAAAGGGGTGCCTCTTTTGTCAATGATGCGCGAATCACGCGGCGCCGCAGGTTAGAAAGTCCTAAGCGCATTTACATCAAGGTCGATCCAGGCACGTACCGTCGCGGGGTCACATGACCAAGTCTCACCGAGAGCCACCGACACTCACCTGGTTCACCATGGGTCCTCTTAGTCACCCACAGACAGCATCCTGGGCACTTACACGCCTAAACTCACTTCACATCTCATCAAGCTTCCTTCCATACATGGAGGGAAGGTGTAGAGACAGAGACATCTGGCGAAAGCTTCCCGAGTAAGGCGAAGCTAAGCCCAAGTGCCGTTCCAGGGCCGAGCTGCCTACTGCTCCGCCTGCCATGATGCAAGAGCCGCAACAGCGTCGGCGCACCGATGTTTCCCCAACCGGATCCCGTCATTCCCAAATCCCAAAAATGCATGTGCACGTCAGTGTCCCCCCTGGAACCTTCTCTTTGCAAAGACCGAACGCTTCAAACCTCAGGGGACCTTTCACCTCACCTTCAACCTCTCAACCTCCTGCAGGTACCGACATCAGGCCTAAACACCGGATCAGACACATAGACACACCCTCCCTCTGTCTCTCTGTCTCTCTCTTCCCCTCCCCCAAACAAGCGACATGCTTCTCGCCTACAAGGTAACCCACGAGCCCTCGGAACTGGAATCGGGACGGTCAGTGTGGAGGGGGGGGGGGGCTGTGAAGAAGGTCACATCTTGCTCGATCTTGGAATACCGGTCAGCAAGGGCCCAATCACTCCTCCGCGCCTCTGTCTGACGACTTTCGGAACGCTCAGTCAGGACGTTGCTGAGGTCTGGGCCCGGCAGATGCGAGTGCGAAATCCAGCTCTGGGCCTTTTTTGTTCTTCAGTGCAGAGTACCACGAATCTGCTGTCGTCGTTGTCTTCTTGTCGAGTGCGTCTCTGACCCGGATGCCGCTCACTTCACACACCCAACATACGGCTCAACAGAAGGCTATTCCTATACCTTGTGGGAATGATATCGCCAACCATACGTATTGGGCACATACGCCCGGAAGAGACGACAACAGACTTCCGCCCTTTGGGTCCTCAGTCCCATCGCCGGGGGTCCTTGGTGCGGCGAGAAATAAAGCCATCCAATCGGCCTCAAAAGTTGTAAGCGGTGGCAGCGCTTCCCCCACAGACGCCAGTCATGCACATCACGACCAGTCATTGGCCGAAGGTTGCACCTTGACTGGGAAAAAAAGCTTGCACAGCCGATATTGGCTGCTTCACATTTGCGCCGTAGCTCCCCCGCCAACATCCATATCCGGCGGGCCTCGAGAGGTGACAAAAAAAGGCGAAAGAAAAAGCTTGGTATCCAAGCTCCCTCCAAGAAAGGTGCACCCAGCTTCCGGACCCGAATTGACTTGCATCGCCAAACCTGCCGCGCGGCGGGAGGCGGGAAACACCAAACCAAAAGGCCGTCTCATGCGCCCCGGACCTGGCCTGGCACATTCTCCAGACTCGGGGACTCCCATGTCTGCCATCTATGCCTCCACCACTGCACGCACATGCGCCTGCATTTGCAAATCGATCCAAGAGAATGCAGCTTCCTCACCCGCTAACCTTTCTTCCCTCCTGATCCTCCAGGTCAACCCTTGGAAATGCAGAGAGTAAAAAGCCAGGCGGTGCTCCGTCAGATGTATAACACACCCATCTAATCATGCCGTACCAGCAGTTCATGCACGATGCCCGCTGCACCGCTGCCCACAGCACCACCTTGCCTGACAACCTACTTTCCGAGCCTCCTCTCTTCCCGCCGCCGTGTTTCGCGGCTAGCCTTGGGCGGGGCAAGGCTGGAGCGAGGTGAGGGAGCATCGATGCGATGCGCCGGGCCCTGCCACGGCGGCATGGCCTGGCCTGCCGTCTCTCCTGCATCAAACCACCAACATGCCATTCGGTGAAAACTCTGAGAAATGACGAGACGACGACAAGTCACATACGTACTGGGAAAAGAAAGATGGAGTCGACAAGACGGACGCCGAGGCTTGCATATTCTGCGCGTTATACGCGCTGCATTCTTCAACGCTTCGCTGCGCGATGATGCACCGCCCTCTTTCCAATACGTAATTACATCTCGGACAGCTGACTACTTCAACGGTCGACCTCGTCATTGTCGGAATAAAAGGCAAGACAAGACACAAGGAGACGAGACAGCCTGGTCATACCAGTCATTGCAGGGTGGTGCCGGGATACCCACGAGGAAGCAAGACAGTCTGCGTAGCGAGGTAATCAAAAAAAGTCAATCTCGCACCGCCGAGCCCCAAGCTCCCTTTTCCCGCCCGTATCTCATGTGATATCAATCAGGGACGTCAGGGACGAGCACAGGGGTCAAGAAGGAGGGGGCGCACCGTTTCAAGCGTCCCAGTTTCTATCCCGACTTGACGATTCATCCGGTGTCCAAGGTCGACATGACAGCGCCACTTACAAGCAGACAGCAAGGAGACACGGAGAGAGATGTAGAAAGGACATCAGCACGAGCGCGCAGAGACAAAGGTCCACGTCACGCTCGTTTGAACCCGTCCTTGACAGTTACATGATCTGCCCAGCATGCGCCTGCTTGCTGCGCGGCCCAGGTGCGCATAAGCCATTTCACGACACCTGCTCTGTTTCCCGAGGAGGCTCCTCCGTCAGGCTCCTATGAAAACCTCGTACTCCGTAGTGTACGGATGCTCCTGCCAGGAGGGCGAGCGAGAGTTCCCAGGGCTCCTCTGTGATCCGTGATCTCGCCGCCGCCACCCCATGTTTGAGCAGCATGCATACCCGTACGCGCATGCAGGCAATCGTACCCCTTTCGCTTTCCGGGGGTGGGAGGGGAGGGAGAGCTTGTGGTGCCTTGCTTGCCCTGCTTGCCCTGCTTGCCCGGGGCTTGCCCTGCCTGTGCCTGCAAAACAAGACCTAATCACCTTCCTGGCCTGGCCAAGTCGAGACTCGAGACTGGTGTGTGTTTACGTCTATCCGTACCTAGCCATCCGCCTTTGCTTCGCCTCGCCTCGCCTCGCGCGGCCGAACGAGGTCGTGACAAGCGGACGCGACAAGCGAGCGGGGGAGTCAACACTCTCGACGGGGTGGGTGTCCTCGAAAAGAGGCCGGCTAGAACCGATCCCGACTTGGCCAATCTTTGGTTGGTGCTGTCATAATTTATTGTATCCGCCACCTTCCTGGCTCACACCGGTCGTGTGCCAGACAGAAAGGTTGCGTGTCTCGTCTCGGGAGCTAAATCAAGATGGAGAGAGAGAGAGAGAAAGAAAGGGCCGCTAGACATTATACCTCACACCCTCCCGTGTACATTTTGGGGTCCAGAGAGGGAAAAGGACGCACTGATGGGAGAAGTGGGTGGCTGGGCGGGCTGGGTTTGGCTGGTCTCTAGTGTAAACTGCCGCCCGTCTACTGCTCTACTATTGTACGTACCGGGAACCTTTCAAAAGACTGTGCGCGGCACAACACGAACAAGGAGGTGGGCGGCTGTCAGAAGTCTAACTACGCCGAGGTTATCAATTGTATAGTTTAGTCAAGTTTTTGAGTTTTGAGTCTTTTTTTCTTCTCTCTCTCTTAAGCCGACGTACCCAACTACCCAAAAAGGTAGAGTACAGCCGTTCCATGTGGTCCCTGATGGGCAGAAAAAATTCTGCTGTCGAACAAAGTAAATCTTGGTCTTTTGCAGACTAGGGGAAACACGAGGTGGGCAGGGCAGAAGGTTATGGAGAGATGGGAAGAGGGAGCGTGGGAAAACAAGAGGTCGAGAAACAAAGCCGGAGTTGTGCACAAGGGGATTGTCCCAACAATGGAAAACAGATCTCACAACGCCTCTCTCTCTCTCTCTCTCTCTTTCTCTCTGGCTGTCCGTCTGTCTGTTAGCTCTCTGCTAGCTCTCTGCTGGCTGTCTCTGTGTCTCTGCCTCCAAAGGCAAGGGCCGCTGCATTGCCTTGCCTTACAGATGGATACATGCTGCTGGATTGCCACCAAGCCAAGTACGGATTCATTAGTACGGTACGCCTCCTCTTGCTTCCGCTGCTGCTGCTGCTGCTGCTGCTGCTGCGACGGGCACATGATGCGAATCATACTTGCATTCAGAAGGCTGGAACCAGCCAAGCGAGTAATTATGCCACCGAATTTCCTGCTTGCCATCAGTCCGGGGCGTCTTGCTTTCTTTTCCATATTGCCATGTTTCCCGGCCATGTTTCTCCCGGTACCTTGCTCAACGACTCTGAGACCTTTTCAATAGCAGATGCATCGTTGTGTCGTAGCAGTGGCAAAGGCTTTTCAATCTGATGTATTCGTACTTTTTTCCGTACTCTTTTCGCCGTCGACGGTCGCGGTCAGCCTTTTCAGCTTTGTTTAGCACAGTGGATTAAGGTAGACCCCCCCCCCCCCCCTTTTCCCCCCCTTTTTCCCCGCCCCGCGGGGCCCCCCCCCTCCCCCCCCCCCGCTCCACCACACCTCACACCACCCCCGCGTCCACCCCCCTCCTCCCCACCTTCCCCCCCCTCCCCCCCCCCGGGGGGCCCGCCCCCCCCCCCCCCCTTCTCCTCCCCTTCATCCCCAAGACGGGAGGCTCCAGAACTTCCCTCCGCTCGAAAAAAAAAAAAGATAAACGACGAGGATGAGACGCACTATTCTGTCATACTGCGGCATCTCCCTGCACGTACGGTAATCTCTCGTTCTTTTTCCTTCTTGTTCCCGTTTTTTGTTTTTCCTTCACCCCCTACCCCCCCTCCCATCACCTCCACCCATACAACACCTCAGCCCTTAACGACCTTGCCAGCAAGCTGGCGCGTGTAAATCTGACATGTTACCACCCGAGACGCGGTGGCGGCGAGGGCACATCTTTGCCCACAGACGCTTCTCTCACGCGCGCAAGGGGGAGGGGGGCGCGGCCATTTCGTCCCTCGGTCCACCCTCCCCAGCCATCCTTCCATCTCTAGCCGCACAGGGTATAATTCACTACCAACTACCCTACCACGGTCGATGCCAGGTAAGCCAGGCAGGCAAACAGGCAGATTTCCAGATGTTGGGGGCAGGAAATTGAGCGAGGGCGTGAGGAAAGGGAGGGAGGGGGGAGGGGAGAATAAAGTGGAAATTGGGGTTGCGAATGTAACGCGGGCTTAACAGGCGAGGTCTTCCGCCCATCGCCGCCCGCCCGCTCCCTCCTAGTCACTTGTGTGCAGCGGCCAAAGGAGAAACCTCACGCCAGCCTGTTGGGGACAAGCAAGACAAGGTTGAAGGAAGGATGCGCACCTGGCGGCCAGTTTTGGCGACCGCAAAACCCGGAATTTTATCGCCGTTAATAACGCAACGAGCAGCAATCGGCTGCTGCTGCGGCGGCGCCGGCCACTTGCTTGATCGAGAAGAAAGGTCGGAAGGAGATGCGAGGAGTGTGTGAGTGACTTAGTGTGTATACGGATATGACTAGGTATGTGTATCCGTATGCGTGGCCCGAGGCTCGCGGGTGGGAGGGAGATGTTCCCGACAGCGTCAAAAGGAACCGCCCGACCTTCACCTTCACCTACTCTGTAGATGTATCCGTAGATACAGAGCCCGTCCTGTCTCAAACGTGCCCGTGGAATGATGCAAACGTGGTCCTTGCCTCTTCAACCAGTAGGTTTGTGCGACCGTTGCACACATGTCCTGACGCACGCTGTTTTCTCCGTGCAGTAGCAGCCGTCGTTGAAACTGCGTCGTCGTCCCCCTCCCTCCTCCGGGGCGCCGAGTTGTGAGGAGGAAGAACGAGGGGTGCCAAGCAAACAAGCAAGCCAACATCGTGAATTCGCAAGACGATTGCCGCGCGCGCAGCTCTTTGCACAACGCAGCAGTGCAGGACAGGCTAGGGCAGGGCTCCCGCGAGCTGCCGTCGCCGCCACCGCCGCTGCTGCTGCTGTCGTGGACACTAATGTAAGACATGTCGATTTCCCATCAGATCTTCCCACGATACACATGCGAGGCTACGGGAAGCGCGCAGCTATCCCGACACATGCACAGGACGGAAGGCGGCCGGCGGGGTGAGGCACCGCTGCTCCTCTGAGGGAGGGAGGGGGCCAGAAGCACCTGGGACATGACCCTGGGTCAGGATAGGTCGTGGTAAATTTGGCCATGGCCGATCGTGAGAGTACAGACGGACAGGCTACACCAGCCGTGCTGGACCTGTGTCGTTGGATCGTGGACCGTGGATCTTTGGGGGGGAGGGGGCCGGGGCGCGTTGGGGGGGGGGTGGGTACGTGTCTGTACGTGGAGCGGGGCGTGTGCTGGTGGTGGGTGTATTGCGTTGACGCTTTGGATTTTGGCGTGGCGGGTGGTGGGGGGGCGTGAGAGTCTTAGTACTTACCTGTCGGCCGATGCCTTCCAGGTGCACAACTACCTAGTATATATCATGGTAAGGGGCAGAAGCGTGGTCTTACCAGGCTCCGCGGCGGGTGGACGACGCCAAGCAA